ATGCCCATGAATCAAGACACACAATTACAAAAGTATAAAACTATAATGACCTTGTGAGATTCCTCTGAGTTTTCCAACTGCAATAAATTCCAATATCCTTTCCTTTACATCATTTAATCCATAATGATCTTCATCAAGAATTTTTTGCGCCCGAAGAACATCAAAGTTCTCATCACTGCATTACGATTGAGATAAGAAATATTATCATATTGAAAATTGTATAGAAATGTAAAATTGCAATAATGGGGCACATTTTTTCAATAAAATAATGCACTAACTCAACAAAATAGTACACCCCATTTTAGATTATATACTAGATATCTACTTATTACCAAGGTTTTAAAAGACATTGCGTAGGCATGCCTTGAGGCAAGGCATTATGAATCGCTTTGACACACACTTTGTTTACCATTAGGGGTACAAGAAACTGTTGTGCCGTTATGAGGCCCTGCAATGTCGGCCGAGGTGCAAAAAGGGAAGAGAGAAAGATAACTTCATGCCCTATTTTCCTTAATGTTTTGATGCAAACCCCGTTGTTTCGTCCTAGTAGCCCAAGATATTTTAAAGTGAAATAGCAAGTTTCACTTGAAATGGTAGAAAATAAATAAAGAACTAAAAAAAACCCCTCCAAACGCTGTGTTTTGTTCCCTCTTCCATCTCAACGCCAAACCTACCCCATACTACAGCCCCAAAATAAAGTCCTGGCCCTATATTTCCTCCAGCAAAACCGTAGCTTTTCCTCCCAAGTCCTACCGATCCATGTCAACTCCCAAAACCAAATATGATAAGCCCGTAGGATTGATTATTGTATGAATGTTGTGTGCAAAAAAAAATTGAATATTTTCTGTGCTGTGATTGATATTATGCTTACATTACAATTAGTAGTTAATATATATATATATATATATATATACATTTTCAAAAGCCTCAACGCCTCTCCTTTTGAAACATTGCTTGTTACACATTCCTCTTTGACCCTGGAATTCATAGTCATGCTAGTACCATGGTCCTCCAAAATCGTTTGCACCACATCAGGTTCTTACTACCCATATTATCCTACCCTAAAACATATAAAACTAAGGGCACATTGACAAGATGAAATCCTAAAGCATTATGAAAAATAAAAATAAAAATCACGTGTGGCAACAGTGTTAATAAATGGTCATCTATTCTAACCAAACAATGCTTATAGTATAGCCTCAACAAATTATTAAAATCTTTCAGCAACTCAGTCACAGATAGGAGTTCAATATATTTGAATCTCAAAGATTGCCCCAAAATAAGATTTGAAGTATTGCAAAGACCTGTAGTTTCCCCATGGAATTGAAGTCAACCAATCTAGGTAATTGCGTGTCACATTAAATTCACTTGAACTGGCCTCCAACAGCTGCAGTTTTGTAAGTTCTTCTTCTATAACTTGCAAAACATGAGGTGGGCAGTTTTCCCTGTTTGGTTCAAGCCTCTCCCTAAACTTTTCTGCAGAAGATCAGAAAAGTGATGCAACAATTACCTTTATGTACATGAACAATCAATATTCAGAATAATTAATGTTTGCCACATAAATGCTTAAGTCATACTTAGAACTAATGGACAGAAAACACCAAGAACATACAACCATGATGGACGCAGATTTCAACCAAGCTACTTACAAAATTTAGACACTTTGCATACATACAAGTATACATAGACACACACACACACACACACACACACACACACACACACACAAAACAAATAAAAACTAACCAGAAAGTGCCGTTTTGTCATCTGTCTCTAATCCCAGTTCCTGCATTATATCAAGCGAAATAAATTCCATAAAGGCCCAAGGTTGAAATAAAGAAACTGATACAAAGCCACCACAAAGCGAAGATTATTTAATAAACTACTGTCAGTGAAGAAGCAATAATTCATGATATACAATAATATCTCTCGACGGTGGAGGCGAATACCTTCTTTATGGCTTTAAGCTGTTCATTCAACAAGTATCGACGCTGTTCACCACTTATCTTCTCTTCAATTGCTTTTGCAATAGACTCCTAAGTATGATCCATAAGGAAAGTTCAAAAGACAATTAAATTGTAATGGAGAACACATGCCAAGTACAAAAACAATGGCATATTGGCATTTCATACCTGAATCTTGCTGATTTCTATCTCTTTCTTTACTAATTCCAGAGTGAGCTCTAAACGTTTATACACCTGAGGAATAATGGGAGAGTTAAAAAACATTTTTCGACATAAGAAACTTGAATATAAAGGCTTGACAAAGTTCTATTTTTAAAAATAAGCAACATAACAATTGAGCTCTCTAATTATAAGCCACTCTACTGTAATCAAGATAGAGTGATACTCACATCTAACTCTTCAAGCACTTTCTGGCATTGCAATTTGTTTGCACCAGATATTGCAGCTCCAAAATCTGCTAACCTTGGAAAATTAAAATCACCTATATGCTGCAAAAATGGAATAAAATGAAAAATTTATCATGAACAAAATTATATATCCAAGTGATTTCAATACACAGAGATGTATGTAAAACACTTTTTTTTCTCACTAGGCCAACTGTTATCATAAAGCTATGCATCACATACTATAACTTCATCAACTCATTTAAAAATAGGGAAAACCAATTAGAATGGACAGAAAGTTTCACAGAAGTTGCAAGGAAAGAGATTGGTGATGAAGCAAATAAGCACACAAACAGAACAAACCTGAGTGTATGTTTGAACATGATCTCTCCAAAGGGAACTAGTCTTGAGGACATCTCTTAAGGTTGATATAACCTCAAATGATGTTGCCTTTATGACATCATCATCTTTGTTATATGGTTTATCCTGCAATATAAGTATATGGCCCAAAAATAAGAAAGAAAATATATGTGGAACCTTCGAAAATTAATATTTTATATGGGATAAGATAAAATAAACATGCCTTCAGATGGTCAACTTTTACAGTCAGGGGATCCTCATCAACCTGTAGAGGAACCATAACTTTTCTCAGTTTAACAATCTTTATCCCAAAAGTTTATACTAATTTGTATTAATATACATGTAATTGAGTGTACTTAAATCTTGAGGCATTCAATTCTAAAATGTCCACAAGAGCCAACTGTTTTAATCAGTTCAGGAAAAATTCTGTAAATGAATATGAGGAAGGTCATGGAAAATGGTGCCTTAAGATGGATTTTCAAGATTACTGATTATTTCCACTCACCATCTCTGTAATTCGAAGTCTTCTATGACCAATAAGGACTACTTGGTCTCCTTGGATGCTTGAAATCTGATACACGAAGATACAAGTAACTACAACATAAAAAATTGAAAGGAAATTCTAACATATGCATATCAAGTTAAACCACAAAACTAAAGATGCATGAAACATGAAAGCAAAGGTAGATACCTGGGCAAGCGTGCCAACTTCATGCAGACGATTGAACAACTCTTTTCCTTTCAAGTCATGTATGTTTTTATCTGTTTCAGAACCTGACACCAAACTAGGATCAGTCCCCGGTTCATCCTTGAGAAGAAATGCACCTGCATAAGGAGCTTGTCGCTTTCGACTTTCTTGTAAAGCTGCTAACAATTTAGGATCCTACATGAAAAGCAATTCACTATTTTACATTATTTAGTTTCAATCCCCTTCATATTACCTCAGAGTTATTTCTACGAGTGCATGGTCAAAGGTGGTTATTGATATGCTTAAGTAATTTAAAATTGCATAAACCTTGAAGTAACAGTAGCTAAAAAATTGACCCAGCAATCAGATAACCAAAAGAACAATCTGATTTTCACTTTACTCGAGAATCTCATGTACCTTCACATAAATTGGCATGTAGAACCCAGGAAAGAGTGGTCTATGCGGCAATGGCAAAGCTAAAACCTGCCCCATATAACAATAGCCAAAAAACAAACATGTTAGCACGATGGCTAGAGAAGAAACCATCACGCAATTTATACATGGAAAAAAGCCAAGACATTTTCTTATGTTTTTTCGGAATCCGAACAGACCACTTAGCAAAACCAGATTCCAAAGCCAACCAACCGTAAGATAATCTTCGGGTCTAGGATTAGTGGACACAATGGCTGACGAAGACTTGGACTCTGCTTCGGCCTCGGCCCCCGCCCCCTTGAACTCAATTTCCACCACCTGATCAGACCCGTCGCTGCCGTCCGAGCAAAAAAAAGCTCGGCAAGCCGAGTTAGGGCTCGACCGAGTCAACCCAGTGAGCGAGCCGAGAACACGGAGAACCGGCGAGGCCAGCTCGGTGGGCCCGGGGCGGAGGCTGTGGAGCCGGCCATGAAGGCATGACGACGAGGAAGACGAGAGAAGCTTCAGCATTTGCTTAAGGCAGCAAATGGATTGAGACTGTCGTTAAAAATCGGAACTTCAATTTAACGAAACCGCCATTTTTGTGTCTCAAAGCCCCTCATAAACCCTTGTTTTGCTTTCAGACGAACAAAGAAGAAAGAAGAAAAGTTGATTTTTTTTAAATTGACGGAATCAACCCTACTGTTTGGAAGTAATTACTTGATGAACCAAACGTAAGTATAAAAGGGCGCTGTCGGCAAACGTGTGGCTCCAGTTGTCCAGACTCCAGTGGACTTACAGTAAATACAGTCTGTCAATCAACTCCAAGACGACCAGACAAGAGAAGATCAGGTACGCTAACATTTCATTCTATTATGCTCTGTTTGGTTTCTCGGAAAATTGAAGTAAGTTTGTTTATTTCTTTAAAGAAAATGGGAATGGAACTTTGATCTTCATGTACCGTTATGTTTCTCTTGAAAGTTGTTTTCTTTGTGTGCATTGATTAAATTCTGAATGCCGATTATGTTCTTGAATTTGGGTAGATTGTTATTGTAGAATTGGATTTGGATTAGATCTCTTTGCATCATTATAGCTCGGAATAAGCATATCGCAGCTCAGTTTGTTGAATTTGCTACTTATTTTGAGGCTTTGTGATTATTTAGCTCCGAATTAGAACATCCTGGCTTTTTGCAGATGGATGCGGTGTTTTCTAATAACGTGGGGAGTGAGCAACGGTCTGAGGGGGATGGGTCGGAGCACAGCTCCTCCAGAAGTGGAGTTGGAGGAGGGATGTTTGAGTATTTTGGGTGGGTGTATCATCTGGGTTTGAATAAGTTAGGGCATGAGTATTGTCACCTCCGGTTTCTCTTCATCCGGGGCAAGTATGTGGAGATGTACAAGCGTGATCCTCACGAGAACCCCGGCATTAGACCCATCCGGCGGGGTGCTGTTGGGCCTACACTGATGGTAGAGGAGCTCGGGCGCCGAAAGGTCCAGCATGGAGGCAAGGGTGGGGATATTTATGTTCTACGGTTTTACAATCGATTGGATGAAACAAAAAAGGGAGAAATTGCTTGTGCTACGGCTGGAGAAGCCCAAAAATGGATGGAGGCATTTGATCAGGCCAAGCAACAGGCTGAGTATGAGCTTGCAAGAGGAGCTAGTGCCAGAAAGAAACTGAACATGGAAGAGGAGATTGATCTTGAAGGGCATCGACCTAGAGTAAGGCACTATGCACATGGATTGAAAAGGCTTATAAAAATTGGGCAAGGCCCGGAGACGCTCTTGCGCCAATCCTCAAGCTTGGGCCCAAATAGCTCAGAGGCGTACTTTCAAACGGACTTTGGAGATGCAGTTGAGGCATATGAGTGGAAATGCGTGAGAACAGTTAATGGTGTTAGAATATTTCAAGATGTTGCTAACACTGAGAGTGGTAAAGGTGTTATCGTCAAGGCTGTTGGTGTTATTGAAGCAACTGCAGATACTGCTTTTGAAGTGATTTTAAACACTGCTCGACATCAGAGATATGAGTGGGATACGCTGACGGGTGACTTAGAGCTGATAGATTCTTATGATGGATACTTTGATGTTGTCTATGGGACATTTGATCCTATGTATCTTTCTCGGTGGCATTCCAAGAAAGATTTTCTGTTTTCTAGGCAATGGTTCCGAGGACAAGATGGAACATATACAATCTTGCAATTCCCAGCAATTCATAAGAAGAAGCCTAAGAGGTCTGGATATCATCGTACAAAAATAAATCCATCTAGTTGGGAGATTAGAAATTTGAACGCATCCATGGGTTCAAATACTCCACGATGTCTTGTCACACAAATGGTGGAGATACCTTCTAAGGGCTGCTGGAGATGGAAGAAAAATCACTTCTCAAACTTTGAAAAGAGTGTACCTTATGCATTGTTGTGTCAAGTGGCAGGTCTGAAGGATTATATTGGAGCAAATCCTGCACTCAAATTCAAATCCGCTGCTTCCGTTATCAAATCGAAAGTACCTGACGGTCACGTTTCCAATGCTGAATATGAGGCTGAGGCAGTGCAGGATGAGTTTTATGATGCAATTTCAGCGGGCTCTTCATCTTCTGATGAAGAAAGTGAGAGTGATGAGCTTGACCAGAAGGATGCAAAAGTGAAACTGAAGAATGTTGCATGGGCCATCTCGAGCTTAGCTCTGAAGCGAGCTTCAATTGCAAATGCTAATAAAGAACTGGATCCCAAAGCAGCTCCTATCACAATTGACACAAAGCAGTTCCATGGTTCCTTCTGCAAAGGGAAGGATGAGGCCGACACAAACTGTTGGACATCTCCAAGTGGTGTGGGATTTATGATCAGAGGAAAGACCTACCTAGAGGACAATTCGAAGGTAAAGGGAGGAGATCCACTTCTCAAGCTCATAGCAGTAGATTGGTTCAAAGTTGATAAAAGCATAGATAGGTTTGCACTGCATCCCAGGTGCCTTATTCAGTCAGAAGCTGGAAAGAAGCTTCCTTTTGTGCTAATCTTTAATCTCCAGGTTCCAGCAAAACCAAACTATAGTTTGGTACTTTACTATGCTGCTGACAGACCTCCCAATCCAAATTCTTTGTTTGCTAAGTTTGTGGATGGGAGTGACATGTTTCGCGATGCAAGATTAAAATTAATTCCAAGTATTGCTGAAGGATATTGGATGGTCAAGCGTGCTGTTGGAACAAAAGCTTGCCTACTGGGGAAAGCTGTATCCTGCAAATATCTCAGACAAGATAATTTTCTAGAAATTGATGTGGATATTGGATCGTCATCCGTGGCGAGGAGTATCATCGGACTTGTCCTTGGATATGTCACGAACATAGTGGTTGACCTTGCAATTTTGATAGAGGCAAAGGAGGAAGAAGAGCTGCCTGAGTATATTCTTGGGACTGTTCGACTCAACCGTGTGAAGCTTGAGTCTGCTGTTCATTTGGAGGTTTGAGGTTGTACTGGCATTCTTCAATCATGTTATCCACATTTGTCAGAGTTATTACTGCAACAATATTTTTTGTCCAATTTACAGCATACTGTAGAATAATAAATTGTAGACTCTCATACATTTTCTGTTATATGTTTATAAAATGTACTGTACAATTTTCAAATTCAGGTGTGTTAATGTAGACGTATGGACAACACAAGCATTCTGCATATGATCATCTATTGGATGGAAAGATTGATGAAGGCTACATCACAGGGTTGTGTACATTATTTACGGTGTGTAGTTAAATACGGAATGATTTTGTAAATGATGTAGAAGATACTTTGCCACTCAGTGGCTAATACTATGTGTTACAGAACATATTAAAATTCCCATGTTCGGAATTTCACACTTTGCACTACAATATATAATATCTTGGGCCATTTATACCCTGTTAAAGTTTGAGCACCATTAGCTGCTAAATAAACCATAAAATTAACTTAGTACACTCTATGATTTAAGTACACTCAAATTTGTAATCAAAATATAAAATTAACCAAGCACACCCTATTTAACTACCAAAAATACCCCTGGTACACCCTAATACAAACTCTATTACACAACACCCTAATGCCAATCTTAAACCAAGTTTCTCTTTTAACATGAATTCGTGCCCTCTTTTCAGATTTTAGGTTTGTATCAAAATCTTTAATTTTGCAAGCTGGTGTGGAGTAGATTTGCTAGCTCCTTCAATTTAAAGCTTGATTCTTATAAATTCTTGTGATTTTCTTTATTTATTTCTTATTTTTGGATTGAAGTTGTTGCCCTCCAAATATGTTCTGTCATCTTTTGAAAGTTTTATGAGTTCCTTTTTTTTTTTTTTGGGTAAAATGAAAGTGTTTTGCACTTCTTTTACAGAGCAAGAAACCATTCATTGATTGTTTGTAAAGCTTTGTGGTCAAAACTCCAAAAGAATATTTGTCTTTAAATATTGAAATCTTAGATGACTGTTTCATCATCCCATGAGTAAACAGATTAATCAGATTATTACTATTATTGAAGATATTATAACTAACAAAACTTGAAACTACAAGAATCTCAAAGCGTAGGAATCGGAAGTCAACCTTAGCGGGTTTTGTTCATTTTGTGGCCTTGAAATAAGTGTTGATATTACAACCGACCTCCTTGCACCTTCGAACATTCAACGACACCTCATTGCATCTTCATCAGTGCTAACTGCATTGTTAGTGGGCACCAAGCAATACGAAAACTTCTTTACATTTGATTAGAGTTGAATATGGTGAGTAGGATGTATTTATTATATGTGTTTCACAATTCAATATATCTTTTTTGGTCATTTTATATTAGAGTAAATTAGTAATTCAATAAATAGTTTGGTAGTAGGGTGTACTTAGTTAATTTTTGGGTTTGTTTAGTAGCACTCATTTATTTTATATACAAGTGATATTGACGGGAGGAATCAAACCTAGAGCCTAGAGTGCATGGTGAATACTCTTAACCACTTGAAATACAAGCTCCTTGCTTAGTTTGGGTTTGGACAAAGTGCAAAAAAATTTGGAAGGACTTTCATGGAGATTTTGGAATTGTAGCGTTTAGGATTTAGGGTTTATAGAAAATCAAAATTTAGTCATCCTATTAAATACACAATTTCATGCATAAAATCATCAAAATGAAATAGAAAGAGAAGTTTAGAAAAACCATAACAGGGTCTAGTCTAGAACTTTGTTCTATCTCCTTAAGACGAAATTGCTTCTCACTCGTACTTCAAGGTTCCAATGGCAAATGTCTCCCATGATACAACAGCCTCCTTATGGTAGTAGCACTCCAAACCACAAGAATAACGAACGTGTGTTTGAACTCTTTCTTAAATCACTCTTAAAATTCTAAAAAACTAATGTATAAAATGCTCTAGAAAACTAGATATCCATAAATTGATTGAATCTAAACTGATGTAGTGGGCTTCTCTATTTATAGATGATGAAGAGCCATTTCCCAAAATATGTGACGGTGGGGGCTTTTTCGTTTCGGCATCTACTGATGGGCCTGGGCTGCTGTAAAGAGCCAAATGTATGAAATTGTCTCTTAAGTCCGAGTTCAAGGATCATACACCAAGAGTGTTTCGAAAGGGTAGCTGAGCCTTAGGAAACACCTTGGTCTTCTTCACCAATGAAACCAACAGTCGCTTACAGATAAATTCTTGACTTGGCATGAGAAGCTTGTGGCATGGGAGCTAAGCATTCAGGAGTTTAGCAAGAGAGAGAAAGAGCTGCGATTTCCTATGAAACAGGGATTCTAAGGCAAGGGGAAAGGATTCTAAGAGGGTTTGTTGAAGAGAGAGAGATGAGGGATAACAATGTGTGTGTTTAGTAGTTTCCGGCAGCTTGACGAAAACTCTGTCAAGCTCTGGAACGATTTACCAGAAGAGAAAATAGGAAAAGATGGAGGAATGGGGCTTGAAATTACAGAGTTTCAGAGAGATGAAGCTTGCTCTCTGGATGTGTGTTGTAGCTAGTGGTGAAGTAGTGGGTGTGGTTGTGTTTAATGGGTATGAGGTACCTTCTTTTATAGCCGCTGAAAGCTCCTCCTTCCCAAGGAACCCTAGTTGGTTATCTCCAATTTTGCTAAGTCTTCTCCTCCATTTCTCTTCTCTTCCTTTGATTCAACCTTTTTTGTGAAATCTTCCTCTGTCCAAACACACAAAGACAAGATTTTTGGGAGCTCTAAGGCCTTCCCGCAACTGCTTCAGTGTTAATCTCCTATTTTTGCTACTACCTCACTTTCTTTCCTCCCTTATTTCATGGCAAGAGCTGGTAGGAAAAATGAAGGGGTAATGACGCTGGTCTAAAGGGTGTTTTGCTCAAGTATCGTTTGGTTTTTTGGATGGCTTGTGTTGGGATTTGTCTTTGGCCATGTGCTAGAGATTCCCAGCAGCCTGCAGACGTAAGTGGCCTTTAGCTTTTGTCTTGGTTTTGTCTCCAGCTAAGTGCTGGAGGCTGCATATATTTTTCTTGGTTGCTTGGGCCTTTCTAAGGTGATGGGTTAACCCATTAAAGGAATGGGCTAATTTCCTAGAGTATTGGGTTTTTTTCTCTCCTTTATGCTTACCCACATATTTGGGCTCAAGAAATGGGCTTGAGTTTTAAGGCTCCCAAGCAGCCCAAAACTTCCATTTCTAGACTCATCAATGGGCCTCATGAAAACTCGTTACCATCCATCCACAACCCACTCAACAAGCCCCAGGAATTCGCGTGGCTTGGGCCCACTTAAGCTTGTAGCGTGGCATGTTGCTTATTTACTTGGCGTGACACATGTGCAAGCGTATATGACGAACTCTTGCGTACCCAAGTTGGGTTTCTTCTCAAGTTAAGTGTCGTACTGGGCTAGAAATATATTTGGGCCCAACCTTGGATTTTTTGTGCCTCAACAGTGACTTAATCTAAAGAGGCAATTAATGCATCTCTTCACTTAAAAGATGCATTGTTTCAAACTTGGATTGTCACACCTTTTCGATTTTAATTTCTATTTAATAATAGAAAACAAGATGGTCAACCCAATCATAACTCATCTTTTATAATTTGGGCTTGAGTTTGAGTTTGGGTTTCATAGGAAAAAAATATTAATCCAATCAAATTCATTTTGAATTCAGGTTAACTCAGACTAGGTCTAGGCTGCCCAATTTTATAGGGTTGAGCTAACTCCATATTGACATATTTTACAATATTTACCATGGCTTGTTCTGCAAATATTTTTGTTTTAAAAAATTGATAATAATCTACTACAATGACAAATGAAATTATGTATACAAAACTTAAGGGCCCGTTCGGTTAAGTTTTAAGGGGTTGTTTTCATTTTCATAGAACAAAAACACCGCAAGAACCTGTTCGGCGGGCCACAAGTAGAAAACATTGAGTACTTGTGGAAAACAGACAAAAGATGTTTTCATTCTCACGAGAAACGCTCAAAACAGAGGAAGTTGAAAAAGAATAATTGTCGCTGTTCACTGTCGTCAATCTCTCACTCAATCTTCTCTCCCCCTTGCTCACCATTCTCTTCTCTCCCCTTTACTCAACCCAACAGCCACCACCCAATAGCCACTACAAGACAATCAAACCACAATCACCACAACAGACCAGCCACCTGCTAATTGCACCACAACCCAATCGACCCTACCATCAATACCACCACCCACTCAGCAAACTGCCAGAGGGGGGGGGGGGGGGGAAGGGAGAGAGAGAGAGAGAGAGAGAGAGAGAGAGAGAGAGATCAAGCCTTGGATGGGAAGGAAGAAGAAAAGATAACGGAGAGAAGAGGAGAAAAAAGTAAAAGAAAGGGACGATGTCGACTGAAAAAATAAAAAATAAAAGAGATAAATATAGTTTTAATTTTTAAAAAAACAATTTTATTTTTTATTTTTTAAATTATACATTGTTAAAATATCTTTTTAGAACATAAATTTGCAAAAATACACTTGAAAAATAAGTCGCATGTTATTATTATCAAATTGTACTACCATACACATTTTCATTGTTTTTGTTTTCTGAATCTGTTTTCTAATTAATCTACCATACGCAATTTCAAATCCTAAAAATGCAAATTCATTTTCTTGTTTTCATTCTCTAAAAATATTCTAAGGAAATATTCTCCGAAAACGTTACCGAACGGGCCCTAAAAGTCCAATTCAAAAACATTGAAAACACAAATAGACAACCACTTAAAACAACATCGATAGTAGCAACAGCCCAATACACATTCACAAATTCTTATTTCTTCTATAAAGTGAATTAAATATGTGTAGAATGTGCATATATCCATATAAATATAATATATTAGAAATTTGGGAGAATCGAACCTAAGACCTTGAATGCAAAGATAAATACTCTTAACCACTTGAGTTAGGAGCTTCTTGTGAATTGAAATCGGATTGAATTCGAGCGAGTTTTTATCTGCCCGAGCAAGTCTTTACCTAATTTTAATCCGCTCAATCAGGTTAAAAGTTGGGTTGACCCGACCCAGTTCCACACTCAGTGTCGGCAAAAGAAGGCAGGCCCGTGACAATGTGACATACTCAAAAGGAAAGAAGAAAAAGAAGGGCCCCTGCAATTCCTGCAGAAGTTGGTGGTATTTATTTTCTTATGATTTGGCTTTTACCTTAATTTACTACCGTGCTCTGCTGTTTACCCAACTGGACCCCCCAACTTTGGCATTTACCTTCAGTTTCAGAGCTAGGGAATTCTGTATTGCTTTTTTATTTTCTTGTTTAAATTTCTGCACACACTTTTCCTAATTCTCCTGGAAATTGTTTCTCTAGGTAGTCTTTGTCCTTCTTTCTGGAATGAAGAACAAGTTTTAAAAAATATATATATATTAAAAACAAAATAGCCGCAAAAGAAAATAAGGAAAAAGGTGAGTTTTTGTCCCTTTTTTTGTTTGGTTATTGTTTGTTTTACGGGGTTTTATATGTTTTGTAAATTCTTCTCCTTCATTGAGAACATGGTTGTTTCTTATACTTGAAAAAATAAAACAGAAAATAGAGGAAAGAACATGTAGTTATAATAAGTTTTGCCTCAATATGCTAACTTTCTTTCAAAACATCACATGTTGTTAGTCACTTACTGATAGTGCATTACAGAAAGGAAAGAAGTAACCATAGTTTGATGGTCAGTCCTGGTTGGATCAAACTATCTCTTTACCATTTAATTAATAATCAATTATTTTTAAATGAGTTCATAATTTTTCCTTTGCCAAGTGATAGAATCACGAATTAGTCCACAAGCAGAAAAACTTGTATAAAATGGGATAGCACTGTTTTGCTATCTTCAATCAATCACAAACTGACACGTGGAAAAATTATTATGCATGGTATGTCGTGATTGGACAGGATAGCAAAATAGTACTATTCCTGTTTCACTCAAGTGTTTCACGATTCACAAGAACTAAAACCATACATAATAATTTCTAGACAATCCGAGAAAAGGATTTGGATAAGCAATACAAGGACCCTTTATCTCTGAAAGAGAGTCCAATGTGTTTAAAATTAACCCATATCACATCAACTTTTTCTTTAAACATAGATGACATCCTTAGAGCATCTTCAAAGGAAGATGTCAAATACTAACCCTTTTTAAAGTACTTATAAATTAATTATAAAATGTACACACATAAATATATATATTTTTTAAACAATCCATCTCCACATTGGTTAGACTTATGATGAAATTTTTTTTATTTAGGAATTTTGTTCGAGCACAATTTTTTTATTTAAGAAAGTAAAATTAGAGAGATATATGTATAAACAAAAATTGAATGTGAATAGAAGGAAAAAAGGCTGAAAAGGACATTAAAAAAAATCACCATAATGAAGTGAAATGACATGAAGAAAGAAGAAGAAAAGAGAAAAACAACAAATGAAACCAAATGAAGTGAAGTGACATGAAGAAAAAAAATACAAAATAGAGAAAAGTATTAATCAAAAAGAAAAGGAAAAAACATGATCTGCAAAGAAATAATAAAATAATCACATGCCGTATCAAAAATCAAAAAATCAATTGATATCTCCATCATCTTACGTTAAATTTGACAGCAGAGGTTTTAGATGCTTTTTCACATAAACGTAGCATTTTCGGTTGTAGTAAATTTCGGCTAGGTTTTTTACCCGTTAAATGTGCCACATAAGATTTAGCATCTTCTTTTATCTTTATCTTTATCTTTTTTTGATTTACGGGAAATGGGGTCCCGAATTTGTGATATCCTTCTTATTAGCAAAATGCTCTTATATGCTTTTAAGAGTATTTGTTCTTACACTCGAAGTCCTAAATGTCTTTTTTGAATGCGATAGCAAGATGCATTATTCAAAGAGTTATTTTGGCGCTTGAGCACGAGGACAAGTCTAGTCAATAAGAAACCTCGGCCACAAGTTAGAAATTGGAATCATAGAGATAAAAACAGGATGAACCCACACCCCAAGTTAGAATTTGGATTGGGTTTGATAAGGAAATAGACAAAAAATCACATGCAATTGCCTTACATGAATGTTATATATGAGCAAATAGACAAAAATCAAACATTTCTTGGTTGACTCTTATCATAACTGAGCTTGAGCTTGACTACACATTAATGTGAAATGTTTTTATTTGATTTTTTTTATAATTTTGTTTGAATATCCCTGGCAAGTCTGAGAATTTAATGTGAATGGGGAGAAAGGGAAATCAGAAATGTGACAGAAACTCCCGTCACCCAAACATGCCATAAAGCTTTTTCGCTTTTGACCTTTCCCATTATAGAATGGGAAAATTCTGACAAAAAAAAATACCATAATGGGAAACTAGGATAAACGGCTATTTTTCCTGTAAATTATATAAAACTGACGAATCTATCATTCATTCTCATATTCCTAACAATTCGATCTAAGATACCGTTACATAAAGTCAAGTGTTCTTGACTCGCTTTTGAGGATCTCCTCATCATTTCACGTCATATTCTTTATAAAAAGTGACTCTAAACGTCAACAAAAAAGCATGAGACGAACTTTTAAACTCAAATATTTTTATGTTCGAACACTCACAAGCATGAAAATATCCGAATTTATTATATATGTTTTCTTTTATTAATGCAAAGGCGGGTTCGAAAACTATGTTTCAACATTAATAATAATTTTTTTCTTTTTTATTTTTCTTTTTTATTTTATTTTTAGAATTAAGAAAATATAATATGAGTAGTTATGTTCCATAAAAGTAGGACCTATTATCTGATATTGTTTTTAATTTTAATTTTTTTAATATAAAAAAATGTGAATTTACTATATTATTTTCATTTAATTAATAATTTTAATTCTTAATGTTTGAATTAACCAAATGCATTTTCTGATATTTTGAATATTTCACAATTCTCTACCTTTTGCTTTATATATATAGATACCACTATACAAAAAACTAGTAAATTAGCTACATGTATGCACGAGTAAATTCTCGTTCTAAGTTTTTTCTTCTATTGCTTTAATTATACTTTGATGCGCGAGAGAGAGAGAGAGAGAGAGAGAGAGAGAGAGAGAGAGAGAGAGAAGCAGAGACTGATGCAATAGAAAATTTGGCATCCCATGCATATACATTTGCCAATATAAAGTGGGTTACTTAGAAAATCTATATTTGAATTAAAATAATATGGCCCTACATTATTTTACCCTTTGTCAACATCATGGAATTTTACACAGCATAAAGCTGACAGATCTTAATCTGGCTTAGCAACTTGGGCATTACAGTAAACTAGTATTTAATCACACTTACTGGGGGATGGGGTAGATTCCTTTAGATTCCACAGCATGTTCCTAGTGGAAGCTTTGCCACACTAGTTAATATAATAATACTAGTATTATTGGAAAGGACCCTCTGATCTGCACCAATACTATATATACACGTGGTTGTAATTCCGATCGTCCAGATACCTAGCTTTTTTTTTGGGTCAGAAAATACTTAGTTATGACCTCCTTCTAAATGCTCTTCATTTCTGCAAATCACAATTTGACATATGTATAAAAATAATTCATCGAAAACATAAAAAGAGAAAAACTTATACATACATATACTGACATTTCGCAGAAATATAGAAGTTCGTACTTACAAAGCAAGGAGGAAAGTATTTTTGTTTGCGATATTTGTGTTTCAATTCAAGAAAGTCTTATTATATACTGAACCCAAAAATAATATTTGTCATGTTGAAGAAGCACATCTTGTGTGTGCCAGAGGACATCCAGATTTGCGTGCTCATTCTTCAAATCTTCAGATCACGTTTGATGTTATTTTAAGAGACAACATGTGACTGAAGACATAATAATACACTAAGAAAACATTTTTCATCAAATGACAAAGTAATTTATTTACTGTTCTGTCGGTGCGTTTTTGTTTTTGTGACCCACTCCATTTTGTAGCTCATGATCAAAACCATTTAGTTTGTGAGCATCAACTCGATGATATCTTCGGATTTGAACATTTGATGTCTTCCAACAATGTAAAGTAGACGGTTCGAATTGTTGAACTATAATACGGAGTACATGCGAGTACAACTAATTATCCATATCTCGAAGTTGTGTTTAACAAAGGCATGACGCTCATGAGAGTGTAAAAGTCAACCCTCCACTACACATAAAGCTTACCATCCTTCCCTATCAATTTTAGTAATTCAAATTATAATAATTAACCCCCTTAGTGCATGAGAAAGACTTTCCCGACCAATAACGTTATAACATGCATTATACGGCATAGCATTATCGACATAATATAGTAAAATAATGTTATCTTCATTGCAATTAAATTTTTCTCCTAATGCACACCGTACCCAAATATCACCTACAAATGTGTAGTGTTTTTTATTACTTACTATAAAAAGCTATATGTCGGGCTCCAAAGCACGTGGGGCTCGGAATTCAGCTCATCACACTAGACATAATGAAAGTGACTCTCTGTGGCGTGCACCAAAATGTAATGTGGTTGCGGCCATGCCACGAAAGTGAAATAAATAATTATGCAATGTATAGTAACAAGTTACATTATTAACCGTGAGTATCAAATAGCATGAGGAAGGCTTCCTATATAAGCAGAGGTAGGACAACTCCGGTAGGCAGGCTTTGTGTCGACACAGCAATTTACACTTGTACTTGTCCGATTGTTATAAAATACTAACTTAGACATCGAAGACTCTTTGGTACTATATTCCCAAGAGTTCTTCAGCTCGTGTACTTTCTTTTTTATCTCAAGCTGGGTGGTTCGTGGGCAATCTTTTGTAAACATTAATGTAAATTTGGGGCTATTAGAGTAGGAATGGGTCACTGTTTTGGGGTCGTGGCATTTGACATGACATCCGTGACTTTTGGTCTTTTTTGGTAGTGCAATCATCCAAAACGGTCCTTATACTTATTTGGGAACAATTGCCCACTTTCATTATACTTATTAATCTGTAGGATTTTCTGAATGGGTTGGGAGTGATTGGTATCTAACCACTTCCTTGAACATCACACAAATTCCTCGAAATTTAACAACTTCCTTGGGTTAACCACACATAAGATATAATTCTCTCAGCCTCTCTAATCAAATGGGGTAAAATTAGAGCAGGGAGAAGTGAGAGCAGAGTAAAAGATTTGAATATCAGAACAAAGACATAAGAGGAGGGCCAGGCTACAAAAGAAAATGGAGTACAGTCTGTTTCTGTTTTACCAAACTACTCCACTAACCCAATCTACATTACAATATGTATGCCATCCACTAGACATACCATGACTTATCTCCCCTTTCCTCCATCCTAGCAACTCAAAACTCTCTCTCTCTCTCTCTCTCTCTCTCTCTCTCTCTCTCTCTCTCTCCCTCTCCTTTTCCAAGGAAAAAATATCCTTTCCTATAAAATAAAATTTTAAAATGAAATAGAAAAAGGAAAACCCACAAAAGAACTGTGCCAAACTATATTTATATATACTCTCTCCTACACACTAAATCATCACACACTTCTACTCTCACAGCCATGGCAACCCTATCCTTTGTTGCCTTCTCACTATGCCTCCTCTTCTTCTCCTTAGCCCAAGGCCTCAGCAACAACCCCCAATGTAGTGAGGCCAAGGACCAGGGCTCTAACCTCCAAGTCTTCCATGTCTACAGCCCATGCTCTCCTTTCAGACCCACCAAGCCAATGTCATGGGAGGAGAGTGTGCTCCAAATGCAGGCCAAGGACCAGGCCAGGCTCCAGTTCTTGTCCAGCCTCGTGGCCCGGAAATCGGTTGTTCCGATTGCCTCCGGCAGGCAGATCATTCAGAGCCCTACGTACATTGTGAGGGCCAAGATTGGCACCCCACCTCAGACCTTTCTCTTGGCTGTCGATACTAGCAATGATGCTGCTTGGGTCCCATGTAACGGCTGCGTTGGCTGCGGTTCCAGTGTCTTTAATTCTGCCAAATCCACAACCTACAAGACCCTCGGTTGCCAAACTGCTCAGTGCAAGCAGGTAAATCATATTTTGTTCTTTTCTAATTTCTTCTAATTAAACAACCCTTCTCTTTATACTGCAAGTAGACACTTTGACATGTTATTTTCGACAATTAAAATGAAAATCTGGACACTTCATTAAGTGACAATTTACTTAAATATGTGACTTATAGTGACAGCTAGACAACGTAACATCTCAAGTATGTGTCAAGTTTTCCTTTTTAGGTATGGTTCAGCTAAGCCTAAGCATATCTAGTATCTATTTTAATTATGCTTCACAAAAACTAGATCTATCACATGGTTTAATAATGAATCAGATCTCTTAAAGTAGATCCTCTTTTATAAACTCTATTTTTTTGTGGGTTAATAATATGTCTACTTTATCAAAATGGGGCAAAATGATACACTAACATGCATGTGAACCCTTCAGGTACCCAACCCCACCTGCTTAGGCAGCACCTGCAGCTTCAACACCAGCTACGGCAGCTCCACCCTAGCCGCAAACCTCTCACAAGAAACCTTCACCCTAGCCACCGACGCCGTCCCCGGGTACACCTTTGGTTGCCTCCAGAAGACCACTGGCAGCTCTGTGCCGCCGCAGGGTCTTCTGGGCCTGGGCCGGGGCCCATTGTCCCTTCTATCTCAGACTCAAAACCTCTACCAATCTACATTCTCATACTGCCTACCTAGCTTCAAGTCCCTAAACTTTTCTGGGTCATTGAGGCTTGGACCTGTTGGGCAACCCAAGAGGATCAAGTACACCCCACTGCTCAAGAACCCTAGAAGATCATCACTCTACTATGTGAACTTAAATGCAATTAGGGTTGGTAGGAGGATTGTGGATATCCCTCCTGCTGCCTTGGCTTTCAATCCTACCACCGGTGCAGGGACGATCATTGATTCAGGTAACACCCTAAAATTTTGTTCTTATAAGAATTTTGGTCATGAATGCTCTTTTGGACCATAGCTGAGAATGTGGTCTAGTCACAGAGTTGATATTTAAATGTACATTTTCTGTGAACATGTGACTAGCCCACATGTCTACAGGACCCCTCTTGGACTTGGATTTGGTTTTAACCCTAGAGACAAAACTTCCCTTGCTCAAATTATAATTGTCCTATTGTTATGCCGTGTCTCGGTTGGTTTCATTTTTGTGAAAATTTGATTGGCCTAGTTATTGTATTTTAATTTTATAAGATAGATATGTTTAACTTTTTAAAGTGGCCGTACATGATTAGAAACACTTTTAAGTCAAAAAGCTTGTGACTTAATCATGCATTTGCCACTGATTAGTTATAATAGTATAGACCCAAATTTCGAGATCCCTATGTGAACATGATCTTTTCTTTATAGTCGAGTGGTAAAGCATTTATCTCACTTTTGCAATACAAATTTTTTAAACTAAAGTTTCTTTTTTCTCTCTAATCAGGAACCGTATTCACCCGGCTAGTGGAACCGGCCTACGTGGCAGTACGGAACGAGTTCCGCAGGCGGGTCGGTATATACCCGTTTCAAACCCTAGGTGGGTTCGACACCTGCTACTCAGTGCCCTTTGTCGTACCCACCATAACGTTCATGTTCTCAGGCATGAACGTTACACTGCCTGAAGACAACATTGTAATCCACAGCACAGCTGGGAGCATCACATGTCTAGCCATGGCAGCGGCACCGAACAACGTGAACTCTGTGCTCAATGTGATTGCCAATATGCAGCAGCAGAACCACAGGGTGCTCATTGATGTGCCCAATTCAAGGCTTGGGGTGGCCCGTGAGCGCTGCACTTAAATCCTTTGTTTGGTTCCCGTTTGGTAAACTAGGGTTAGCTTATTACTTGTACTATTTTGTTGTTTTCACTTTGGATTGGGGTTGTGGCTTTGTTGGGGTATTTTGGCCTGTATGTCAGAGTTTTAAATTAATTGCTGACTGACTGTGAAGGTCTTCTCTAAAAGTGATCTGTAGCAAAAGTCCAGATTTCGAGTGATTTGTAGCTTTGTACCGACATATATCACGAGAAAGGGATCTATAGCTTTGTGCCCTTTCTCATGTGTGATTGAGATTTGTTAGATAGGTGGTCGTACAATGTCACGGGTTATTTTGCAAAAGGCTTGCAAGAACCCTGTATCCAAGGGTTTTGAGTTCAATAAATTTGAGTAATAATTTTTCTGTTGTTTGAGCTTTGATTAAATAGTTCAGATTTGCTCATAAGAAAACTATTTTGCTTCACTTTTTTTAAATAAAAATATTTCATGGAAAAGGAGTCCAATCATTAACATAACTAATCCGATTCATGACTCATTTCACTACATATGCTCTCACTTAAGCTGACTACAAAGGACTTAATTGTTTTTGCATCACTCTACATTTTACATGTTTCAATTGCTATATGCATAGATAGGGCAGGTCTGGTCCCGAAAAAACAAGTACTTAAGTAAGGCGTTGACTGACCACTCTTAGAGACAAGTTGGTTCGAGCTGATGCATTCCTTAGGTTGGAAAAAGCCCATAATTAAGTAGGGCGTTGACTAATCACTCTCAGAGACAAGTTGGTTCGAGCTGACCTATTCCTTAGGCTGAAAAAAGCCTGTAATTAAGTAGGGCGTTGACTAACCACTCTCAAAGACAAGTTAGTCCGAGCTGACCCATTTTACAGGCTTAACAATGAGTAATCTCCTTAGCTAGGTAAGTTGATACATCAGAGATTACGCCAAGCTTTAGCCCATTGGAGTTTCCAATAGGGTTTCCACCTAGGGATCTAGGCTAGCGTAGGTCAATGCTATAAACTAACAGAGTGCGTAGGAGATGATATAACACAAGAGATTTAACGTCGTTCGACCGTTATATTAAGTTTGTAAAGAATGATTTGAAGGAGATGGATGACATGTTGTTTCAAAAAAGAAGACATAATAATATTTTTTTTTCTGAAATTTTATGCCACAAAGTACATAGATAAGTGCCTAGGTCACATTTAAACTTCTACGCTACAAAGAAAGCATGTTTCTCTCTAGCTCCGGCCCAGATGCATTGTTTTGTCTTGTTTTGCTACTTCAGTCCTGGAAGGCTGAAACCTCAACTCAACTTCTAACAACGTCAGCCCATTTCATTACCCAAGAGAGTAGGGGGCCCGTCGGCCCATTTCTTGCATAAGTCGCTGTCCCGCGTTTGGTGATATCAGCTCCTTAAAAACACTTCCAAACATAGGTGGTTGAAATAACAACCTCCATCCAAATACATACATAATAAGGAAAATTTATAGGAAATGAGCTATTTCTCTCGTCAATTAAACTATTGAATAATCATTGTGAATACACTAAGGTCTATATTTTTAAATTATTAATTTACTTCGGAACAACAAATATGCAATTAATCAGGCACTTCCTTCAAGAAAATGTTTAATTCTTCTAGTTTGATGGTTGTTTGGTTGTCAACCATATGACATTTCAAAGAAAATACGTGTAGATTTTTTTTTTTCCCTGTTAAATTATGATTACATACAAAGGCAAATTAAGAAACTCAGTTTAATTTTTGGTCTTGAACCATTCAAAAGTCAAGGCCAGCCTGAAGGGATGTAACGAAACGAGAGTCAATAAGACGAGAGGAGAAAGGATGGGAGAGAATGAGGTAAGAAAGGCGGCAACTTTAACTCTTAGTTTTACTATCATAGACTACCACGCGGAAAAGTTTTTATATTAATCATGATTGTTACTATCATATGACATCAAAATAGTAAGAGCAGTGTGTAAAAGTAGTCTGGCGTGGGAGCACTTGTAAATAGAGTAGTCCGGCGTAACGTACGGGTTACGCGGTGATCCTGAGTGGCTCCCGACTGCATACCTGATCAGGAATATTTCAGAGAGTATCTATGTATAAAGAGCAAGCACTGACGTAATACTCATATCACGCACACCACCCCCTTCGTTTGACCGAATCCCCTCCAAACATTAAACATAAACTCCTCATCTTATCCTTGAGGGACAACACAACACAATATTTTATTCCTTCACGCGCCAACCTACATTTCTACGTTCGTATTTATACAGGTGGGTGCCTTGTCATCATCACCATTAAATAAAATAAATTATTTCTCCTAAACCTACACGTATTTTCAGGATTCATTTATAGCCATTCGATTCCAATCATACGGTTGATATCTACCAAACCAAACCAACCGCAATCTACTCAATTGGCCGGCTGTCCCCGGATCTTTTACGGAAATCATGGATCCATAGGCGAGTGCAGATTGAAACCAGCCATTCCCATTCCCGATTCCGCACTATCATTAAATTTATATATTAGGTCATCATCTTTTGAAAATTTGTATAATAAAATACATTTCCCCACTATGTAAACACTTAATATTCCTTCTATCACAGAGTTCAACATTTCTTTAGTGGTTAGATTGTTTGTTGGTAGGGACATCTAATACGGGAGAGAGACTTTTATGCAACGAGAATAATATTTTTTGTTATTTCTAACTAATAATGTAATGACACGCATGATAATTTTTTTCTCATGTCATTACATTATTAGTTGGAGATAATAAAAAATATTATTTTTAATTGAAACAAATTAAATTTTGAAGAATTCAGTTGTTTTTAATTTAAATTAAATTCAAGTTCTGTGTTAAACCGAATTATTGATGACATCTGGCATTTATTACATTAATTCTCTCAAATTTCTATACATAATATTTTCAAAGAAACAAAAACAATAATGTCATATTTCATAAAAACAAATAGAATAACTGATACTTTAACTAATCGAGGACATAACTGTCAACAACCTTTGTATGTAGTTTTGTAATTTCCTTGAGGAGTGATAGCTGTCTTCCCTCTTGCCCTCCTCATTCATTTTTTGTCATGTGTATTCCACTTACGCATAAATCTATATTTTGGTTTGCTTGGAAGGGGTCCTCGTGGAAAAGGTTTGACGTCTCTTGTTTCTCACTCGTCATGTACTGTTCTTTATGTTCCCTGTACAACTAATGGAGTTGTGGATCACATTGCTTGATTTAGTCTTCGGCAATAAGGGCTTTTGTTTTCGTTGGATGATGGCCCCCCTTGGCATCTAGATTGACTTAGAGATGATTGTCCTGATTTGTGTATTTGATTTAACTCTTCTATTAGTCTGCAATATGTGTGGTACTTTTTCTTATCTCGGAATTTTATCAATGTGGTTTTCGCGGGGAATGTTTTAAAGATGCAACTATTGACATGTTAGTTACTTTATATTGATTTCGTGATATTAATGAAATCTCTCCCTCTAAAAAAAATCTATATATTCAATGTAAAGTACTAATATTTTGTTTGTAAATACAATAAAGAATTTTTAAACACATTAAATACATAGATTTATGTGCGATTAGAATACACGTGACACGAAATAAATGAGAAAAGGGAAAAAAGGAGAAGGCAAGAGGGGAAGCTAGCATTTCTTAATTTTATAACATTCTGATTGTACGGACATATCTCTGTAATTTCCTTACTTGTTAAAAAATAAAAATTGTTGGAAATATTTTATTGTATTTGTGGGAGAGAAGTGTATAAATACAAGTTTATATTTTTTGGTCTGGAAAGTGTATAAATACAAGTTGGACATGCGATATGCTAGTTTTTCAGCTGCCACTTGGTTTTCAAACTCAACAAACCCACCGCCACCTTCCCCATCCATTTTCTTCAACTTGATAGCTATTAACATCAATCAACTCAAATCTTCTTCTTATCCCTTCCCTATTCGAACCCAAAATTCCCAAATTCCCCAAAATTTCCAACAAATCCAGACGCACAACAAATGGAAGTGAAGCTCCGAACGTCTCGCTCCTTGGTCTCCAAGCTCAGCTCAGTCTCGTCCCAAACCCGTGCCGACGCCTTGAAAGAGCTTCGGCTCATCACCAAGCTCGACCCCGACAGCCGCCCCCTCGTAGCTGAAGCCGGAGCCATCCCCTACCTCTCCGAAACCCTCTTCGACTCTTCCCCTTCCGTCCAAGACGACGCCGCTGCGACCCTCCTAAACCTCTCCATCTCCTGCCGCCACGCTCTCATCTCCACGCGCGGCCTCCTTGACGCGCTCTCCCACGTCCTCCGCCACCACTCCTCCCCCTCCTCCTCCGCCTTCGCCGTCCAGTCCTCCGCCGCCACCCTCCACAGCCTCCTCGTCGTCGACGACTACCGCCCCATCATCGGCGCCAAGCGCGACATCGCCTACTCTCTCATCGACATCGTCAAGAGCCTCAACTCGCCTCCGCGGTCGGTGAAGGACGCGCTGAAGGCGCTCTTCGGGATCTCCCTCTACGCGCTCAACCGAGGCGCGTTGGTGGAGCTCGGGGCGGTTCCCGCGCTTTTCACGCTGGTGGTGAAGGACGGGCGCGTGGGGATCGTGGAGGACTCGACGGCCGTGATCGCGCAGGTGGCGGGGTGCGAGGAGAGCGAGGAGGAGTTTCCGGAGGGTTTCGGGGGTTAGGGTCCTAGCGGACCTGCTGGATCCGTCGACCGGGACGAGCCTGAGGAGCAGGGAGAACGCGGTGGCGGCGCTGCTGAATCTGGCGAGGTGCTGCAGCGAGAGGGCGGTGAGGGAGGTGAGAGAGGAGGGGATGGGGGTGGTCGATGGGGTTGCTGACGTGGCGGAGAATGCTGGGGCCAAGGGAAAGAGCAGGGCGGTGGCGCTGCTGAAGGTGATTGATGGCGGGAGTAGAAACATTGCTAGCGTTTTCAGAGATAAACGGTTTGATTGTTTGCTAAATCAATCGTCGTGAATTGGGTTTTGTTTAGATTAGATGATGATTATGTAGATATGGTTGTTTTACGAGCTTAATGTTACTTAGGAAATGATTGAATTAACAGTTTCACGCAATGCTTTTGCATTCATTTTTGGTCTGAGAATTCTTATTCATTTTTGCCAATCCCTTTTTCTTTTTGCTACAAATTTCAAGATTGTGATAAGGGGGAGAGAGAAGAAATGGGCCTCGAGCTTTATATGTTGGAAACTTGAATTTTCAACCAAATTCTATCGTAATTTTGGAAGCAAGCAAACAAGCAAGATCATCAATAAAGAAATTAACAAGGGGCTTGTATAGCTCAAGTAATTAAGAACATTTATTCTATGTTTGAAGTCCTAGATTAGAATTCCGATCCCCACTTACGCCTAAAATGCAATTTTCTTCTTCTGCATATTAAAATATGAATATTCAATCCAAAACAAAGTGACAAGTGAGAAATGCCTAATATCTTTTAAGCACTATTGGAAGGTTTTCATCTTCCATGTAGGATACTTTCAACATATTCTGAGTTTTTTTGGGGATTTGAGATCAATATATAGATATTCAGATCAATAAGTTAAGGATTGGTTACATATTTTTAATTTCGGCCGTTAGATTGCTTTCGTTAGATGCGTTGGTAGATTTAATATGCGGCATATTTGCAATCCAACGACCGAGATTGAGATATTTAGTTATATACCCATTTTTAGCACTAGTGATATAGATAAACTCTACACCATTTAATTTATATAAACAAATATATATATATATATAAAAAACTCAAAAAATGACAGCTGACCCTATTGAATTTAATTTTGATTATTAAAATACTTTAATTCCCTATAGAGTATTTTGAGTTTTTTTATTTACGAGGTTTTGGGGTTGGATTTGTATTAAGAATCGATGACAGTTTTGTAATTCATAGGAATTTCAAAGTTTATTTGTTATGTTGTAAATGGGCTTTGCGTGTGTTTCTAAAGTTAGGATTTTTATTTATTTATTATTATTTGGGCCCATATATTGGGTATAATAGTTAATCTCCTTTAAAAATATATAACCAATACTTAATATAAAATACTTATATCGGAGAATATCCATATAGATATTACCTTGAGATGGGTTTGGTGTTTTTGAGTAAATTGTAGTATTATAATAAGGGGGGGCCAATCATTGAAGACCCAAAAACATTTAAAGAAATGCTTCAAGGGAAAGTGGGCTGCACTTCAAATTAGGGTCATGCGTGAAGTCGATGCCATTGAGGATAGGCTTTTTTTTTCCCCTCATGTTCATGATTTATATGCATTGACTTCAGGACAGAGGTTTTCATTAACATAAATTTATACGCTGTCGAGGTTGGTGAAACTTATAGATTGAATTAATGTATTTCAACTTCAATTCTGGTCTAATTAATTCGTATTTCCTTGGACTAAGTTATGTAAAACGTTTAAAGCAACTGCATCATGTTCATGACAGAAACAAGCATTTTAAAATCAATTTTGTATAGCGCTTTGGTGAGAAGCGTCTTCTAGCTTCTTAAATGACGCCAGAGAAGAGTTTATCTCGTTGACAAAAAAAGCAGTTCACGTGTGAAATGAAGGCAAAGAAAAGTTTATGCCCAAATAAACTAAAAAGACGGAAAATGGATGCTAAAAATCTTATCAAATGTAAGATTAATTCAAAATTGTACAAATACAATGCACTAAGAGGAATCTCAAGCATTAGTCCATCCTCGTCATCAACACAGTCACTTTGTTGACCATGATGATCGACCCATTAATTGTTATTTCTTGTAGGAAAAAAAAGTAAAAGGGGTGGGCGGGAGGTGGGCAATTTATAGGAATAAAATCTTTTCAGGTTGCTTTCTAGGAGGACAAACAAGATGGTCAAACATTTAATTGATTTTAAAGAAAATGTTTTTTTACTAATGATCAAACTTTTAAAAATGCTGCTTTGTTTGTGTATCAAATTCATTTTTTAAATGCAAAGGATTTATAACTTAAGTGGTTAAGAGTATTTACCTATGCATTTGAAGTCTTAGATTTAATTTTCCTCTCTTTCAATATCGTTTATATTGGTGTGACTTACGACTTTCCTTACACACCAAGGATTTCCATATTAATTGTAATTGATTTCCCTTTGATTTCTGATTTCCTATTGTAAATAGAATTAGAAGTTATTACTTTCTTTCACCTTCAAGGTTTTATTGTATTATAAATATGACCTCTTATGAGGAGAAAAATATACAAAAAAATTACCACAAATAATATTCTCTCATAGTTTCTCATATTTTAGCATGGTATAAAGCGGCGATCTTGTGATTTTTGCTAAACCTTAGCCAAACACAAGCCGACGCCGCCATGGGGGATCACGATGTGATCATCCCCATGGAGGTAGCACCGCTGATTCCTTTACCACCCATACTAAGAAACTAGAAGAATTGAAGACCCAGATGACCCCAATTTTTGAAGATCCAAAAATCAGACCCCCAACCAAGAACCTTGAAGAATTTAGACCTAGATACTAACCAAGACTCAGATCCTAACCCAGACTCAAATCCCGACCCCAATCCTAACTCAGATCCAAACCCAGATATCGACCCCAGACTATACCATATGAATTTTTCAATGCACATGTTACGACTTCTCGCATAGAGCCCAGACAAATGGAATAGATTGCACATATTGTTCCACCTAGATATACCACTTCTACTCAGACTAGAACAATATGCAAGTTGAGAAATGCTTTGTACGGATTGAAACAGTCACCTCATGAATGGTTTGAACAGTTCACCATGGCAATGAAGAACAATGGTTTTCGGCAGAATAACTCATATCATACTTTGTTCTTGAAAATGGAAGGAAACAACTTTAATAATTTATGTTGACGATATGATTATTACTTGGAATGATGAACATGAAATATCTTAGTTATAAGACTATTTGGCTACTGAATTTGAGATGAAGAATCTAGGTGGACTGAAGTATTTCTTGGGGATTGAGGTGGCTTGATCAAAGTAAGGCATATCTCTCTCTCAAAGGAAATGTCTTGGACTTGTTGATAGACACTGGAATGTTAGATTGCAAATCTCCAGACATTACTATTATTCATAATCATCACCTTAGAGAATAGCCGGATCAAGTTCCATCTAACAAAGAAAGATACTAAAAGCTAGTAGGAAGACTAAACTATTTGTCACATACTTGACCAGACATTGCTTATTTTGTGAGTGTAGTTAGTCAGTTTATGCATTCTCCAAGTGAAGACCACATGAATGCAATTCTTCAAATACTTAGATATTTGAAGTTTGCACTCGGAAAAAGACTTATGTTCTCAAAACATGATCATCTGAATATTGATGGTTATATAGATGCAGATTGGGCAGGTAATGTAACAGATAGAAGATCCACATTTGGTTACTTCACATTCGTGGGAGGTAATTTGGTGACATGGAGGAGCAAGAAACATAAGGTAGTAGTTTTAACTAGTGCAGAAGCTGAGTTCAGAGGTATGACTAAAGGAATTTGTGAGCTCATTTGGTTAAGGAAGTTGCTTATTGAACTTGGGTATGAACCTACATCCATAATGAATCTCTTTTGTGACAACAAAGCTGCAATAGCCATTGCACAAAATCCAGTTCAACATGATCGCAACAAACATGTTAAGGTGGATCAACACTTCATCTTACAAAAGTTTGAGGCTAAAGTGATTTAGCTCCCTTTCGTGGAGTTCGAGGATCAATTAGCAAATATTTTGACAAAGGCGATTTCCCGTAAAGCATTCTATACATCACTAGATAAGTTGGGCATTGTCGACATCTATGCACCAATTTGAGGGGAAGTGATGGTGTGACTTGTGACTTTCCTTGCACACCAAGGATTCCCATATTAATTGTAATTGATTTCCCTTTTATTTCTAATTTCCTACCGTAAATAGAATTAAGAATTATTACTTTCCTTGGCCTTCAAGATTTTATTGTACTATAAATATGGCCTCTTATAAGGAAAAGAAAACACACAAAATTTCACAAACAATATTATCTCATAGTTTCTCATATTTTAGCAGTTTATATATCAACTAACCAACCAAAAAAAAACCATTTATATTTTAAAAAGAAAAAAAAAGGCAGGCTACTAGCTACAAACTGTTGGCAAGGTGTATTTGATCCGGCATGGGCAAAGATTGTGTTGTTTTTCATACCTATAAAACTCATGTCTTACTTGAAAATCCTAGTTTATCCAGAGTTCCCTGGAACTGGATTCGACGGATAGCAAACAAAGCGTCCAATGCTCTTCGGATTTGTTCTTGAAAATTGGGATTATAATAAGTCATTGGAGGTCTAAGTCCAGGGTCTGTAGGAAGATTAGCCAATATTTCATCCAACTCAGTGACCTCCGACTGTTTTGGACTATTCGAATTATTCAAGGGAGGATGTGAATTAGCCGGATTATTTGAAGGAGGATTTGAACTAGCCGGATTATGTGAAGGAGGGTTGGAACTAGCCAGATTATTTGAATGAGGATTTAAACTCTTTCTCTTAAAGTACCGTTCCATAACTGTATAACTAAAACAAAATAAGGGTTTTCTATCTATAACTATGACTAATTGAGTATAGTTTATCAATTAAATAAACAAATAAAAAATAATTATACCTCGAATCGTGTGTCACGCAGCCTCTTCCTCCTCGAATTTGCTACTGATCTTACTAATAGAGAAAGAGCTAAATAAGAAAAAAATTATTAATAAAAATGAATAAACAAAATTGGCGTTTGCTCAAGAAGAAAAAAATATGCATCCAACTTACTTTGGATTAGTATACTCAAGAAGGAAAGAAAAAAAAAGGTAAAAAAACCGTAGGATTCTTGTGATGCACGCACACTTTGATAAAATTGGGTGATATTAAATTTGTCCTTTATAAAGAGAATTCTCAATCCCACTTAATAAGGAATTGTGCAAGCCTTATTAAATCCCAATTAAATAAAAAGAACTCTCAATCCTATTCAAATAAGGAATTATAGAGGCTCTATTAAAAGCCCACGAAATGGCAGCAGTTTACTTTTTTTTTCTTTTTTTTGGTTTGTTTTGAAGCTTGGTCCAAAACGACGTCGTTTTGGCCAGAATTTTTTAAAAAAAATTAAGGAAGCGAACTGTAATTATAAGGTTTTATAGGGTTATATTTCAACTGATATTACAGCAGTTGTTTAAGAGTTATTATAGACCTGTATGTGACTCTGCCCCTGTTGTACTTTCAGTTTCTTCGCCAATGTCGTATTTGGTCTTTCCTGGTTAGACTAGACTTTTCCCTCTGTTGTATGCTCTTGGGGTTCTCCCTGTTTAATGGAGTTGCACTTTTAGGAAAAAACAAAAACAAAAAGAGTGCATAAGCATATGTTTCTATGGCACTGTGGTGGCAGTGAGTGGCTTGTTGACTGATAATTACAATGCGCTATTATTAGCTCAGTGCCCGAGCACACTGGAATTGTAGTCAACTTGACACTGAATTAGTGGGGCACTCGTACTTGAAACAAAAGCGGTTGTAGACATTAAATCGATAAGTTCCCAATTTTTCTATCAGGTATAGATTAATCACAGTCCAATACAACGCATTTCCTGTACAAATTTGCTGGCATTGAAGATGCACCCCAACGCCTTCATCTTTTGTAGCCCTCTTTCCTTGAGGCTGTTAGGTGGCTGTCAAAACCAAACTATGGATGTAGCAGACGGTACGATCTTAGACAAAGTCCATGTTATATAGTCAAGAGGTAGTTGTTGGTAGGTAGGGAGTTGAAGCATCACATATATATGATCAAGGCAGAGACGAAATGCTTATGCATAAAATTTTGGAAGCTCACTGATGACAACCCTAGGGATATAGCTTTGATTCATCAATGCAAAATTCAGAAGTCTTTGGCCAATTGGTCAATTTTAACTGGCATATAAGAGGTGTTGTGGAAGCAGCTTAACTGCAGCTTGATTTAGCCAACGGTCCATAATTTAGTTGGCTCAAGTTCGAACCCTAATAACACATCTCCTCCCCTTCAAAACTTTGACCAAAAAAAAAACAGCAGCCTGATATAGACGCTGCCTGCTTGAACATTTTAATTTTGACCCTGAAGATATAATGCTTTTGAAAAGTCTGCTGGAGGTTGATGGTATTTGGCTCCCCAACTAATCATAATTTCATCATTAAAAACTATATGACAAAAAAGATTTATCAGATTTTTAGTTATTTTAGTAATTGGGTCGGAAATACCTTGTGGAAATGTCTAGATTGAGGAGGGTCAAAAGAAAAGATTCATTCCCACCCTTCAGCTTAAGACCTGCAGCTTTATCTAACATTACTTTTCCAAAGGCCGAAGCCACAGGCCTAATTAAGAATAATCCGTGATTCGTAAGTCTAGTAGTTAAGAACATTTACCGTTATACTAAGGTTCCGAGTAAAATCTCCCAAACTGTTTTCGTTTTTACAACTATCATTGTCACAGTGTGTACTAAACAAAGTCCATTTAGGTGATGCTTAAGTGCTTTTCACCAATCAAATCCAATCGCCGAAAGCTTATATGCTTTAGGAACTGAATGTGAATCGGTACCATCCGTGGTTTCAATGTTAAGCTGTCTATTAAAATTGGACCAGAAGCCATACTGTTAGTTGACTGGTTAGGTTCTTTTTAGCTGGAGCCACAATCTTCTGCTAGAATGCTTCTCCTTTTAGAGGTGCTTGGTCAAGTTGTTGGCTTTCGTGTCTGCATTTTCAGAGCACATGGCTTTTGGCTTTTGCATTAAGTGGATTTTTCAAAAAGAAGTGGTGGATCCAGTATATGAGAAGAAAGGATTGGGCTAATGGGAAGATTCCACATATCATCAGTTACCTTCAATGGGGGGAGAATGATTCTCATGGATGGTTCAGATTATTAGATTAAATTATGGGTTTTCAACAATGATGTTCACAAATAGGCCTAATGATTTTAGGGTTCAAGGCCATGAGGAAATTTTTACTTCAAGATTTTACTATAGTGACTTATGTTCCACTTTGAAAAGTGACTTTTTGTTAGTGAGTACATGACTGACTCTTTAAAGGTAAATATTCTATTTTCTTTTTCTGCTTTTATTTTTGCAGCTTTTGGGTTTTTCCTCCTTTTCACTTGTATTATGTTGTTCGGTTAATGAATAAAATCCGGCTACCTCAATTATAAAAAAAAACAACTATTCGGTGGTAAAATTCTATAGTTTTTATATAATTAAGTTCAAAAGATAATGAGCATTCATTGCACGGCATTTCTAACAAGTGGAGAGGAGCTCTCTCGTTTGGTAGTTGTTCTATAGAAAATGAGTAATGCTACACGCACTAGTTCTTTTAATTTTTTCACATAGAATACACCGTATATAGATTATTGATTTTATAATCTCACATCATGTAAGAAAGTTGTAATAAGAGTGCGGATAATGTTATTATAGAGACAACTTATTCCATATGACTCAACAAAAAACAATCAACAATCAGTGGCGAAGCTAGAATTTCATATGTCTGGGGGCCTCTCACAAAATATAAATAATAAAACCATCAACACGATAATGATGGGCTGAGCTTTACGTTTTGGTCTCCCTCCACTGGAAAAAATATCATCCATTTTAAGAATTTCAATATGATACTTAAAAAAATTGATCAAGTAAAGAATCCGAACCATTATCTCTCATACTTTGCAAACTATGTGTTTGCTAGCCTGTTTTGGAAGTGTTCTCACCAACGGTTATGGAGGCACCAAGTGAGTTCTTCTTGGTGCCTACTTCATCATTTTTAAAAGGGGTAGTTCCAATTCAATTAATGGGAGGAGAATATTTATTGAGACTTATAGTGGTATGCAACCATTTGACAGGGACAGAAAAAATAAAAATGATGCTAAATATATTGGAATTATGTGGATTGCAAAACAGAAAGATTATGTAAGACAAATATCTGACATAGGTAACCTAAAGAAAATCCCACTAGATCCGGGCAGGTTATTCTCCACTTAACTTTTTCTAACACATTTTCTGTTCTGCTAATCTCAAATCCATCCAAAAAAGAGCTTCCTAATCGACTTCTAAGATTAGGGACTAGGCGTACATTCCTTAAGTTTTTTCGATGTTGTGTTTAGGTTAGTCTGAATTTGAGAAGATCACTGAAATCCGGGAACCCTTTCGTAAACTCCAAGCTTTGTAAAGACTAAGCTAAAAGTTCTTAATCATTGCTTCGTCAATTTTGTTCCATGCTGACCCAACTTTGGTATCATATTATCATTAATTAATCTAATCTTTGTCAGCAACATTGTCCTAATAAGTCTACTGAAATCCAAATTACTTTGTCCAAAGTCTACTCGAATTCAATCAGACTATCGGTCCACTCAATCACTTGAAAGTTCACCACTTTCTCCTCTTCTTTCATTATTATTATTATTTTTAAATCTTTTTTTCTTTCTCCACAATGATGTAGGCTTCTCACTTTCGGTTATTTTGGTTCTATTTGTTTCACTTTTCTTCAAAAAGAAACTTAAGAAAGGGGGAGAAAAGTGGTATCAGATTGATCAGTGCCCAATGGTACCCCAAAGCTATTTCCTTTTGGTCATGTTTGGGATCTCCATTCAGTAATTGAAATGGAGACGTCTACTTGGTAATTGGTACATCTTAGCTGTGTCGATTATGATCTGCAATCATAAATTTAACATAAAAAGTTGGCCATTTCTATATTATTTTGTTGTTGTCTCTTCTGTTTATGAGCTAGTTTATTGTCCAAAATTGTAAAGAGCCGTTGGATAGGGCGAAATCGGCTCGTGAAGGAAAAATGGTCAAGAGCTAATATGAGTAATAATGATAACGTACAAATAGTATTTGTGAGATAGCACCGATCAAAAGCTGGAATAGCTCAGTTGGTTAGAGCGTGTGGCTGTTAACCACAAGGTCGGAGGTTCAAGCCCTCCTTCTAGCGCAACAAGTGTCAGTGTTTTTAATCTTTACACGTTCCGAGATACAATAAGATGTTTCCTTCTTTTTCTTTTTCTTTTTTCTTTTAATTTTTATTTATTTATAGAAGATGTTTGTAATTATAAATATTTGTATGAAATTCGTTCCAGCTTAAAATCGTATGAAGAAGACATCTGCCAATATGAACACCGCTCTTGAACCAACGGGTGTTATTTGGATTGGCTCAGATTTTTGGTGTGCTTTCAAGTGGTCTTAGGTTCAAATCATCATGGTACTCATGTATGTGAGTGTTTTACACTTCCGAAGGCTGACAATGAGTCGTGTCGTGTCAATATCATATACGTGTCAAGAATACTCAATCTAAACACGACCCGTTTAATAAACGTATCGTGTTGGATTGACTAGTTAATTTTCCGTGCAGGATTTCGAGTCGGGTATTAGGTTGAGTCGCTAAGTGGTAGCAACTAAAAGAACTAAAAACAATTAGAATAATTAAGAATAAACAAAGAAATAGGTTAGCGGGTTGACGAGTTACACGAGTATTTTAGCGGGTTGGCGGGTTGACTCGTTTAATAAAATGAATACATGGTTATTTTAGCGGGTTGGCGAGTCGACTAGAAACTCACATGTTTATTAAACGGATCATGACGGGTTGACCCAAAAATTTAATCGTGTGGGTTGACCTGCTAATTTTCCTTGCGGGTTTTGAGTCGTGTACCAGACAACAACAAAAAAATGAATGGTTCAGATCATGGAATAAACTAAAAGAACTATCTGATTGTTTTCACCCATTCCACACTATCATCTTATGATCCGAACAATTTATTTTTAGGTCATTATACAAAATTCACTCTTGCAGCCAAAAAAACTAAAAACTAAAAAAACTAAATCAGACAACATTTAGTCATCTAACTTCAGTCAAATAAATATACGACTCACAATACTATTCATAAACAATGAAAATATTCACGACAGTAATCAAATAGTTCAACGATTTACGAATCGATTATTATTAACTAAATATTCACGATAATAATTAAAAGGTTTTTTTTAGGTGATAATTAAAAGGTTAAAATTACATAAACTTCAATTGTATTTTGAAAAAAAATAATTTGTTTTAATCCAACCATGGTGGTCACCCACCATGAAACTTTGTTCTTTCAACTTGATTTACCTCTTCAATATTTTCTTATGCATAGTACTACTAAAGGCACATTTGCTATGTGCTTGGTATTGTACTTTTGAGTATGATGATCAAAAGTATCTCAATCCCTTTTTTGAGTACACGAAAGTAGGCCCAAAGTGTCTCGAAGAAGAAGTAAGTCCTAGGAACTATTTGGTTCCTATGGCTCTTGGGTCTCTTAGGTGGCTTTTGAGATGCTTGAAGGTGATTTGGCCGCTGCAAGTGCTTTCCGATCACTCAAAATGATTCACACCGCTCTTCAAAATGATCGGGTCGCTCTTGAAATGCTTACAGCCACTCCTTAATTGAAAACAACAATGATGATCTTGAAGAACAATAGAAGATTGTAATGTGAGACATAGCTAGAGGAGAGTGTGTGGCGAGTCAACATTATACCAACGGTGGATGATTCCCAAAAATCTTATCTGAGTGATGTTGCTGATGATGTTACTTATCCAATTATATTATAATTAATATCGTACAAGTATAAACTCTGTTGAATAATATGAGTCGCACATCAAAAACTTGACTAAATAAAATACAAAATATAATGAATGATTCTACTACTAATAACACCGAGGTTTTTTGTGATAAAACTCAACACTTATTGGGCATTGTAGGTGGTTAAGTTGGGGACAATATCAGTGTTATTAGTAGTAGCCTGTTAGTCCATCTCTTTGAATTTAACAAACTCGTCGATGACATTATAACATGTGATAATATTACGATTACAAACAAAACATTTCCACTCGAATTAGTTTGAAGAGGTTTCAAATTAAATTTTTTGTAGCAGAATAAAAAAACTGCTTTTGAGCAATCTTTCTTTAATTATAAAATCAACTAACAAATGAAGTTTCATGCCTAGATGTGCCAGTGGCACCACCAACAATGAGCAGGGGGAATCAGTAGTTGGTGCCAATTGGATGAAGGTGGTTGGTTATATTACAAGCCGTTGCTCACTAAAAAGGCCTTACAACTTACTCTCTCATCTCAAGTGGTGATGAATCCACCAAAAGTTCTCAAAAGGGCATAAAGTAAAGCTAACAAAAAAAGGGAGGACCCAAAAGGGAAGCTAAGTTTGAATGGCGATATAGCATATTGGATGGTGGTGGTGGAGGAGATGGAGAGATGAAGAGAGATGGTGATGGTGGTGAATTGGTGATTGGGATGGAGAGTGGGTGACAGACCCACGTGACTGACCCACCACCACCACTAATAGGAAGAAAACCTCTCCCTCTCTCTCACCTCTCTCTCTCTCTCTCTAATATGAAGAAGGAATAGGAGGAGGAGGGCCAGTGGATGTCTTGGTTGGCTTCATATCAACGCTAACAGCCAAAATAACCCAACCACAACAATAAAACCAATATACCCACAATCACATAACACCACCACCCCAAAAAGTGAAAAAGAAAAGTTAACAGGTTCACATCATTAACTCATTTGACAAAAGTGATCCCATTTCCCTTGGTTGCCTTGCCCACTAACATTAAGCCTGCCTTTCCTTTCTCCTTTCTCCTCCCCCTCATGCTATAGTCAGCAGCTAGTGGGTACTCTCTCTCTCTCTCTGTCTCTCTCTCTCTCTCTTTGATCTTTTATTTTTGGTTGGTCATTTCTACTTACTACCCATTATTCTCTCTCTAAAATGCTAGTGGTTCTCCTCCCTCTTCACAATTTCTTGTGCTTAAACTTGTTTGGTGGCTTCAAGATGTTAGCAGCTTAAGCCCACAAAAGGGTAAAACTTATTGAAGCATTAGGAGAGAGAGGGAGAGAGAGAGAGAGATGGACAACGAAACTAACCAAGAAAACCCATCTCTCCCCCCAAACAATTACACCTCCACAACCAAGGAATTAGAGTCTCCAAGATCAAAACCCCAACAACCTCTTGGTGTTGGTGGCAGCAGTGACAGGCTAAAAAGAGATGAGTGGAGTGAAGGAGCAGTTTCTAGCCTCCTTGAGGCCTATGAGACCAAATGGGTTCTCAGAAACAGAGCAAAACTCAAAGGCCATGATTGGGAAGATGTTGCAAGACATGTCTCGTCTCGTGCCAATTGTACCAAGTCCCCCAAGACTCAAACCCAGTGCAAGAACAAGATTGAGTCCATGAAGAAACGATACCGTTCTGAGTCTGCCACTGCTGATGGTTCATCATGGCCTCTCTATCCACGGCTTGATCTTCTGCTACGTGGCAGTGGGCCATCCCCAACAGCAGCATCAGCAGCAGCAACTGTAACAGCTGCAGCTATACCACCACCACCACTACCACCACCACTGCCAGTACAACTGCCTCCTCCGCCGCCTCAGAACAATCATCCTTTGATGCTACTGGAGCCATCAGCGTCGCTGCAGCCACAGCCACCACCTACTGCTCCTCCTCAACCTATAGGAACTGCCCAAAATTCATATGGATCCAATGGTGTTGATCATAGGGTGGCCAAGGTCAGTCTACATGAACCCCCCACCTCTGTTTTGTTTTTTCACACCTATTTCCTTTTGTTTTTTGAATTTTCAATTGAAATTAACCAGATAAACACTTCTTGTTACCTGAAGATTGTTGTCTTTTAGCCCTCACAATTTTTTCTGGAGATAATTGGGTATTAAATTGTTTCCCTACCATAGTCATATTATGTTCTTGGAACCCAATATGTCCTACATGAATGCCTTGGTGGTCTCACAGATAAACATTTTTCAAGCTTAACATTGTTATTTCTGATCATATTGTGACATTGAATTCATCATAGTTCAATATGAATGAAGATTTCAGATGCTTTGTCCAAATGCTGTGAAATTACTGAATCATGTGCAGAAGCCCTTCATGAAATCAAAATTGAACAGACAGAGGAAATTACTATCTCTGTTTTGGAATATAAGTTAAGAAGGGTTAGTTGGCATTAATTTAGATATTAATTTCACTTCACCTAACATAAGGATGCATCATGTTTGGCATCTGAATTTCAATGAAGGTACAAGCTTTGCAGTAATTGTACAGAAAAAATTGTAGTACAAACACTTGAGGTTAAAGTTCCAATTATTGTAGTGCAATTGTACACACATTTGAGGTAAACAATTGAAGTTACAATGCACTCTAGAAGGCCCAAGTAAACCATTGTACTCCCCAAGATTTTCTTAAAAAAATATTAATGTGTATGTGATTGTTTGTAAATCTTACTAAGTTAATTTAACCTGCAGTCATGTTAACTTGCAGGAAGATGGAATGGGGATGAAATTGTCAGACCATGCATCAGACAAGAACCCTTTGGAGATAGACAGTAGCACCCCAGCTCTTTACAGTGACAAGGAAAAATTAAGGTCCAAGAGAATGAAGAGGAAGATAGAGAAAAAGAAGCGGCGAAGACGGGAGGAAGTAGAGATAGCAGAGAGCATAAGATGGTTAGCAGAGGTTGTGGTGAGATCAGAGCAAGCAAGAATGGACACAATGAGGGAGATAGAGAGGATGAGAGTTGAGGCAGAGGCTAAGAGAGGAGAAATGGATCTCAAGCGCACAGAAATTATTGCCAATACACAGTTGGAGATTGCAAAGCTCTTTGCGGCTGGTGTTGGCAAGGGGGTTGATTCTTCTTTAAGAATTGGAAGAAGTTGAGGAACAATAATGGTGAGGTTTCTGAGTAAGTATGATATATAATGTATAGAATTTATGTAGTATGTAACACTGAGAGAAAAGAAAGGAGAACCTTTTGGAAGCAAAGGTGAGGAAGAGTCAACTAATTAACATGTAATATATAATGCGAATTAAGTAGTTATTGTAGGTACAATAACATATCTACCTCATTGTAATGTACATGTTCTCTCTTTCAGCAAGCAATATCAGTGTTTAGACCTAGAAAAACTTGCCTATCCCATGTTTCACGTGATGAGAGAGAGAAAAGTGTATGAAAGATGTTAAATGGAAGTTTTACGAGAGGAAAAGGACAGCCTTTGAGTCCACCTAACTTCTAAGTGTTGAGGAATCTAGATACTTGCTCCATGATGATTTCGTACTGTAAGTTTTCCAATATGTAGATGGGAGTGTATGCATGCCAAGCAAGTTTTTTTAATTTACATTTAGTTTTTTTCTATTATTTGATCATGGTTCCTAGTTAATCTATATCATCAGTCTGCTCAAGCTTCCCATGAGATGCTCTAGCGTCTAAAGAGTTAGGTTTCCAAAATGGATAAAGTACCTAATCGCCTAAATATGCATGAATTAGTCTATTAATCTTCGCTTATTTTACCTCGGGGGAAAAAGTGTGTGACTTAGTTATCTAAATGAAGTTGTATCTTCAAATTCAAAATTCAATCTTTAAATCGTGTGGGGAATGAATCTCTCCAATAGTATGTAAAGACTTCGGTATACTCTGAAATTGAGATAAAAAAGGCAAGGTTAGTCCTTAGACACATTAGTGTGATTTGAGCCAAAGAGCCTCCGATGTCAAAGTAAGTCGTAAGCTTTAAGCAAAATAAGGTTTTTCAATTCAAGGAACATTTACCTTCTCTAGGAGATGGTGGTGGTTTAAATATGACTCTTTGTTGGGTGGTTTATCGCCGTGAGAAGATGCATGTTCAACGTTGATTGAGGGTGTTAAGTCTCATTGATTGGAACGTCAATTCGATTAGCCGTTTGACTTGGACGTGGGAGATATTTACTCAAAGTGGGTGACTGTAGTCCCCTTAGTTCTTGTTGCTGTAATTGATAAGGAGATCTTTAGGATTTGCGCTGATTTTGCCAGAGGCGTGCTGTCCTTGCAAAGCACTTGTGCCTGTGCTGGGATGACTTCTTCGTAAGCCTTGCTCGGTCAGAGGCATTGCTAGGCCTTCTTGTATCATGTGGGCTCAAGCGGAGCCCACACTTCTTATTACCCCGGCAGAGAATAGGAGGTTTAGTAAGGCTAGGCAGTAGAAAAATCTCCCTAGCCGCCACCCACCTTTTGGGGTGGGTGGCTTCCTCCCCTCCCTCCTCTCTCAATCCTTCCCCTCTCTCTACTCTTCCCATTGCTTTGCTTCCCCTTTGGCTTCTTGTTGATGTTTTTCCCTTTTGGTTAGTTTGTTGGATGTGTTTGGTTGTTTTTGCAGATTTGGAGCTCCTGCTTTAGATCTACTTCAGATCTTTGTGGTTCGTTTCAACTTGTGATTCGAGATAGACAAGGGTTTTGGGTGGCTAGTGGTAGTGCTCTCTATCTCGGCGGAGGCAGCGAACGTCAGTAATAATGCTTACTGCTCTTAATTAATGCATGATACGATGCATTCCACTTTCTCCTGTCCCTAATCAGGAGAAATTTAGTTCATGTGGTCATCTTGATGGCCACGTGGTGTCGTGTCATTGACACGTAAATTTTTGCTCCCACAATTAACTCTTTGGCTTCACTTGAACTTGAATCAACACGTAAACTTCACACTTCAAAGACTAGGTACCCAAGTTTAACCTACAGAAACCCTAACTCCTAAAATTATTATTCTTCTTCTTCCTCAAGTCAACATCGTTCAATTTTTAGCCTAAAAGTGGAGCACCCTAACTCCGGTCTAACTCTACTTTACTTATGGAAGAAAAAAGGTGCTCTTTACTTGAAACAGAAGAAGAAGAACAAAAAAAAGAGAGGTGCATAAACAACTTTTTTAAGTACACACATAGCATCCCATTCTGATAGTAGTACGAAGCATAGATGGCATCAAAATGTCTCCTAATCTTTGAGACCATCTCTGTTAGTGGAACGAATATTTTCTGAAAGCAGCACGTTCTCATGTTATTCATCGAACAAGTTGATGTAAGGGCAACACAGCATGAGGTCAAATTCATAAGTGGACAGGTTGTAGTTATGCTAAATGTGCCATAACTACATCAGTGAAATGATACGATGTATCTAAGTCATGAAGTAGGCAAGGATTCTTTGTTTTATATATTTATTTAAGTTTTGAACTGATGTAGGCTAAGGACCATAAATATGAAAGTTGGTAATGTGTATTGGAAACAACTCCAAACACGTCATTTTTGTTCCTATTTCTTCAATTCTATTTATGTCCCCCGTTATTATGCCATACGTCAATGTCATACTCGATATCAAATTCGTTGAATTTTCTGTTATCAAAAGTAGGTGACCAACTTTTAAAGGGCAAATTTGTCTTAACACTTCTACCTACGAGTATTGATGTTGGTCACATACCTCACACTCAGAAGCGAAGTTAGAATTTTATATTATTGGGGGCCAAATGATAAAGATAATTAATTACATACTCGTTTTGGCCTAATAAAGAACTATTACCCACAAAAGTACCAAGTGGAAGAAGAATGGTTTTTATTTATATTAGTGCAGTATTATATATTCATGTCACCTTGTAATTTTACACTATATATACATGTCAAAATGTGACTTTGTAAAATATATTTTGCTGGCAAGGAGGGCATAAGCTTAAGAATGGTAATTTTGCACTATATTCATGAAAAGAAAATCCGAGCTAGTCCGTGTCACTTCTAGCATGTACTTAGCTCTGTCCTTATTCTCACAGGATTAATTGACGTCAAGAATGACATTGATGTATGGCATAAGAAGATATAGATGACATTAAGAGCACTTCCACCCATAAGGGCTAAGTCTAAGGCAAGGGCAAGCAAGGGCTGTCACTATTCACATGAATAGTGTCAGCCTTGCCATTTGTGGTTCCACCCATGAGGGCAAAGTCTGAGGCAAATACTATTCATTGTACTTTATTTTCTTTTTTTCTTTTTTTTACTTTAAACCATTAATTTTGATAATCTTTTGTAATTAAATTTTCGGATAAAAAAATATTGGATGTAGAAGAATTGTATGAAGATTTGGTGTAGAAAGTGAATAATGTGAGTGGAGAGTAAAAAATATTGGATGGAGAAGAATTGAATGAAGATTTGGTGTGGAAAGTAAATAAAATGGTTAGGTATTTTATAGGGAAAAAATACAGAATTTTTTGGTTTTATTTTTTTTAAAATTCAGAATGTTTTCGAATTTTTTTAAGCCAAAAAATATTGGATGGAGAAGAATTGTATGAAGATTTGGTGTGGAAAGTAAATAAAATGGTTAGGTATTTTATAGGGAAAAAATACATAATTTTTTTGAATTTTTTAAGCCAAAAAAACGAGGACCGTCGGATTTCTGGAAAAAAAGATCAGAGTGTCCCTGTCGCGACACGTGGCACAACGGTAAAAAAATAATTGAATTTCCATGCGCTGACGTCAGCGATGACGTCACAAAACTCGGGCTGAAGCCCAGGCGGAACTTGCCCTTGGACCTGCCCGGGCTGGATGTCGCGTGCTGGAGGTGGTTTGGGCCAAGTTGGTGGGCCTTTTTGCCCGGTTCTTTGGCTGCGGTGGAGTTGCTCTAATGGACTTCGAACAGGGGCAAAAATAATATATTTAAAGTGACACAAAGACTACTCGCGATTTAAAATAAATAAATAAAAGAATGTACAAATAGGCTTTTATGTGGGCTTGGTTCTCAACTTATAGTCCACAGGAATCAAACCCAAAAGAAATTTTATGCGCTTTGGCGATGGATTTTGAAGCTTCAAAAGCCCAGTCACTATATCTACAACCAGATTGCCTTTTTTGTTTATCTGGGATTTACGAAAAGATTACTTTGATTGCTTTGGCTTTGTAAAAAGATGGCTCTCTTCCAAACCCGAACAGCTCCTCCTATCCATAGCTATGGCTTTAGCTCGAAAACCCATAGTCACTCTCCCATGGTCTTATCATTTCATTCCCCTCCACCTTCTCACCTTGTTACTCACTCCTCCGTGAAAACCCAGCAGCGAAATTCACTATTTTCTTTCCAGACACCGCTTTCACTCTCAACAGTTACAAGGAAGTTGCTTTGCAGACCCCCTCAAGGGAAACATGTCAGAGAAGACTATCTTGTGGTAAGTTCTCCCTAGAAATGGTTATTTACTTTAGCATTGCAATTACCCATTATTTGTTGGTTTTTTTCTTTAATTCATATCTTTTTCCTCCTTGATATAGTAATGATTTTATGGGTCAGTTTGTATATTCAAATTCTTTATCTGGTTGGTGAGAAAATGTAGGAAACGTGAAAGGATTACAGTTTATTGAATTGATATTCTGGGATTTACCTCTGTATGGGAAATGGGAAAGCATGGAACTTTTCTTTCGATTTGGCTTAGTTTGAAAGCCAACTTGGCATATAGAGTTTTACTTTATTATTTTCCTTTTATCAGTTATGGAGGCATCTGATAGAAGCAAGCAAGCATAGTTATTAGTTAGTGAGATTGAAACAAAACAATTATTGGTTTTAGGAATTCTCTGATCTTTCTTTATTTTTAAATTATAAATTTGAGCTTATTTATTTCTTTTTTTGGGGAGTGCAGAAGAAGGTGTCGGCCCAGGAGGTCCAGGAACTGGTAAAAGGAGAAAGAAATGTACCCCTTGTCGTTGATTTCTTTGCAACATGGTGTGGACCTTGTATATTGATGGCTCAAGAACTTGAAATGGTATGCTTTACACATACGCATACTACTTTTAGCGACCCTACTTTGTATTCATATCTGGCTTTTTTTCTTTTTTTTTCTTTTGAAGTTTTGATGGGTTCATCTGTGCAATTTGATAAAATACTAGTATTTAGTACTTTGATATGGATTTCAAACTGGTTGTTAGAGAAATTCTGTTTTACTGCCTTTCTAGACCTTTCTAATCTTTTGTGTGTGGAGAGATATTTTAAGGGGGAAATTTGAAAATTTGAACTGCACACAGTATGCATGCCCACTATGTTTTAAACCATTGTCATTTGTATGTTTTAGTACCGTAGAAAGAAAACCACTCTCACTTGTATGTCTTAATCGTGTCTGTAGAAAGAAAACCACTCTCACTTGTATGTTTTAGTACTGTAGAAAGAAAACCACTCTCACTTGTATGTCTTAATCGTGTCTGTAGAAAGAAAACCACTCTCACTTGTATGTTTTAGTATTGACTGTAGAACGAGAACCACTCTCACTTGTAAGTTTTAGTCTTGACTAACAACAACCCAATATCACTTCTCGTAGATTAGGACTTTCATATGCTGCCCAATTGTAGGGGTCCATTTCTTGTATGGTGGCTGTTTGATCATGATTGGACGATTTTGAGTGTTTCTGAAAAGCAAGAAATATTATTAAAGGTACCCCACCTTTTTTTAAAACATCAAGTGGGTGGTAAATGGAGAAAATCCTGATCCAACATGTTTCAATTGATGACAACATCTTCAAGACGAGTGTACCTTAGTTAGCGTTTTAATCTCATCTGAAATGCTGTGATATGACTGAATGAAGTGTGAACCGCAAGTGTATTTCCTGGATAGCAGTTTCTAAAAAGCTGAAAGTGAAATATAATACGTGAGAAATGTGGTGTCTTTAGATGTGTGAGGTGCATTATTTGCACAAGCTATTTCTGAACATTAGCTAGTATATGTCTTTAACATGTGATTAACATTTACTTTTAAGATGCTCACTGAGTGCTAGTTACAATGGTGATTAGATTAAGACTCTTTCCATGCTGCCAAATGTGGATGCCCATTTCGTGTAAAACATTAAATATAATAAAAGTTGGCCAAACTTTTTGTGAAACATTTCTTGCCTGTCCAGTTGTTCATATGCATTTTGTGATCTGTGATTCTGCATGTTTTACTTGATTACAAAATCTTCAGAAGGAGAGTACCATTGTTGTTGGTTACTGGAGGGGATCTATGGTCTTATGGTAGTGATGCTAGCTTTTTATTCTATAAAATGCTAGAATATGAGATGAATGAAGTGTGAGATGCAAGTCTATGCACCATGATTGCATTTGCAAACGTAGCTTTATATTTTCTTGTACCATGCCCATACTGTAGAACTGCTGCATAGTTTGGCATTTGGGGAAAGTGCATCTTGTAAAGTAGAAAAGGTATTGAAATATGTCGGATAATGTTGTGCTTGCATTATGAAATCCTATTTTTACTTGGTAATAGACATCAACAAAAGTGAAAGAAATAACGTGGTTCTCTTTTTTCTAATTATTGTCTGCCATTTCAAGGAAATAAACTGGAGGCATTAAATTTATTCAGCTCATGTTGTATGAATCCTCAAAAGGGTATTTGAGCATGACATTTTCACTTGTTTCACCAAAAGCTTTGATAAACTTGTGTTCTTATTGTCCTGGTTCATATTTTTATGTAAGCCAAAAGATATATGAATAACTAAGTCAATTGACCCAATTGTGAACAGTTTGATAGTAAACCCAATGTTCCACTTGTTATAAGATTTGGAAACCCAGGTAACTCAAAGCCATATCCATGATGCAGTCTTACAGTAGTTTGCTTAATTGAAAACTAAGCTAAGGGTTATTTAAGAAATTTTCAGAGCAAACTTCTGATCTATAAACGATGGGCTTTCAATCAGACAGGAAAAAATCAAATATGAGTATTTATCCTACTATCTTTACCAATCCAAAATAAAAATACCCATGTATGCAGATTTCTTTTGAAAGTGAATGTAATGGTAAAAGTCTTTATATTCCAAGTGTTAGTTAACATATAAATTATATTCCGTATTAGGATTCTAATGTTAATCAAATTGAATCTACCCGATTCAGAATTTGATTAAAAAAAACTTGGTTTGTAAGTATATGAGTAACGTTGAAATTTGAATTTTCGTGACAGCTTGCTGTGGAGTATGAGAGCAATGTTAAAATTATTAAGGTTGATACAGATGATGAGTACGAGTTTGCACGTGACATGCAGGTATTTGCATTTCTTTTTTACCTTTTATTTTTATAGTTTTATTTTGTCTCTATTCTCTCAGTTTCTTCCATTCTCTCAAGCCCTACTTGTTGCACTGAAATTTCTTTATGGAATTTATGGCATTTAGTACTCTGTTTTATGCCTCTTACGAATTTATGTGTTTTTAGTTAGATATTTTTCATAGAAAATCACAGATTTTATATTAGTCTCAGTGATAAATATTCTGGATAAACATAAACTGGGTGGATATTTTGCTTTGACTAATATCACTGGTTGAAGAGATCTCGATTTATTGGCATACAATGTCACTATTGGAAAAGTTTTATGCAACAGATGAAGCATTGTAAACTCTTACTGCTATTATCTTGGAGTTTGAATGGCAATTAACTAGGAAAATAATACCTCCTAAACTCTTTCAAATCAGGTTCGAGGATTGCCGACATTGCTCTTTGTCAGTCCAGATCCAAGTAAAGATGCCATCCGGACTGAAGGGCTCATCCCATTACAGATGATGCGGGATATCATTGATAACGAAATGTGAAGGAGTTTGGGAAAATGATTCGGTTATTGCTCCATACATTTGGGGGGCCATGGTTCTGTTTGGTGATGGTACAAGCATTATCATTGCTTGTTGAGGTTTGTAATGTCCTAATTTACTAACTGGAATATTTCCTTGGAGTCAACAATTTTGTAGCCATATGATATCTAATAGATGCGGTTTGTAGGTGTGTTTAGATATATGATGTGTGTCTATCATACATCCTTGCACGATTATGATTCCTATTACTGTTTAAATTATAAGGATGTTTGGTGATGCTACAAGCCTTAGGGCATGGAAAATATATTAACCAGGTCTGATTGTGGAGCTTCTATGGCTGACATTTGGTGTCATGCTTCCCTACAACTTGCACAATTAGGGTTGCATTTGGAAGTGAATGAGTACAAGGAGGCTGGTGATCTGGATGTTCTACTTCATTTATATCTGCACTAGAAACCCCCACCTTTTCTTTTTCCGTTTTGAAGTAAAAAGAATAAGATAGAGTAAAACATGATGACGCAGTGGAAACAGAATCGTGTAGATGCTTGATATTATAATTCTTTTAGAAATACAAAAGTCCATATATAATTCACTAAAAGTATAGCTACAAAATCATGTCCGGCTTTACTTCTAAAAAGCTTATGTGATCTGGAAGTCGCTTGGATTTAACAGATCAACCAACCACTTGTTTTTTACTAATTTCTATTGAATTATGAGTGCCTTGCTAGATTTCTCACATTTTATTTTATTTATCATAGTTTCTCGCATTTTATTTATCTCATTCTTAGTCAGAAGACTGACTGATGTGGTAGTTTAGAGTAATTTGACATATCGGTTGGAGATGCTCTTAGAGATCACACAACTTTACAGTGATAGTGACTAGTTCTATACTTTTGTGCCTGTGTCTAATATTAAAATTACAAGTACCAAAGTGAAACATGAACCGAACCACATGGACCAAAATGTGATTCGGCATATAATTTGTTTGTACATCCCAAAAATGGGAAAGATATTTGAGATGTACAAGAGCCAACTACCTGGAAAATGTTAACAAAAAAGTTTTGCAAGTTTGCATCTCCATTGACGGCCCTCCGCTTCTGATAAAGGGGGAGAGACAAAAGTTTACATGTGAACCACCACTACATTAGAAAGTTATTTAAAATGAAGCTAATATTAGCCAGCAGGGTTTAGTCCAGTGAAAAAGAGCATTGATTTTTGTATTAGTGGTCTCAGTTTCTAATTCCCATGACACATTGATAGTGTATGGGTGAGAAAACCATCATCCTCTCATATCATCATTTATAACAAAAAAAAAAAAAAAAAAAAAAATAATAAATATATAGGCTTATTTTCACAAATAGTCCTTGAGGTTCACGAAATTATCATATTTAATCATTTATGTTTTTTTGTGTGACATAATTGGTTAAGGTTACTCTTGGTACATCAAGTTAGTCCTTGTCGTGAGGTTCTGTCAAAATTAAGGACCAACTTGATGTACCAAGAGTAACCTTAAAGGCCAACTATGTCACACAAAAAATAGAAAAAGGACCAATATGATAATTTCGTGAACCTCAAGAATCATCTATGAAAATAAGCCAAATATATATTAAACCCACACAAAAAATATCAAATCCAAATTTTACATTCTCATATTATAGGAAAAAATTACGTTTACATCTTCCGAAAATATAAATTGGGATGCAAAAGTAGTTTTACGTCTCCAAATTTACATTTTTCTAACACCTAAAGCTCCCCTCCAAGTCTTCCATTCCCTTTTATGGTACCAAAATTTCTTGGTTCGAAGCTTCTATACATCCTTTTCCATTTCTTTCTCACCTCACGTCTCTTTCTCCTATATTTTCCCTTCAACCTTTCTTTTTCTTCCCGAGTATTCTTTGAACTTAGGCGAGAGGTCACAACACAACATTAATTGAACATGATCACCTATATAGCAAAAGTAGAATAAGCCACAATTCTCCTTCGTATTCACACATCCCTTTCATTATCTTTCTTTCCTTTCAGTTCACCTTTTTTCCCATCCACGGAAATAATCAGACTTCTACGCCAACCAAATGTGTTAAATGTTATTTTCGTGAAACTTCTTTTCTTTCTCACTAGGGACAAAATTTAAATGACTTGCCACCACCCTACACGTTTCTTTTTGGTTTACATTGGAGTTCGTATGGGTTCCAACTAGGGTGCTATAGGGGGTAGAAAAACTTGTATTAAACAGAGATAACATTGTTTTGTTATCCCCAGTCAATCACATACTGCCACAAGAAAAAATTATCAGACGTGACATACCATAATTGATACCCCCTTTTCATGTAAGTGTTTCTCCATAGGGGGAGGGGAAGTGACCACCACTATGGTGGGAACCATCGGCACTCCCTACACATATTTCATTTGACTAAAACACGATGAATAGTGAGTTTGCAACTCAAGTGGTCCCTTATACTTAAGGTACTATGCATGAATCTCCCCTCCCTCAATATTACTGGTGTCAAAAGCTTATGTATAGTTCTATAAATTGGCCCTAAGTGAAAAATCATAATAATAAATTGAATCGTATTTGAGACTCATGTAAGGTTCATTTTATTTGAGATTGAGAAAGAAAATGTTGGGTTTTATAACATCGTCTTCCGACAACTCAACATTTATGTTCATAAGAGCTTTTTTCAGAAGCGCTTTTATTAAAACCGCGTTGGGATTTTTATTACAAATCCAAGTACCACCTCGAAAAACACCTTTATAACCTAGAAAAACTTTTGAATGTAACTTTAAAATCTAATAAAAAAAAGGTTTTTGATTGTCAGAAAACCATTCTGGAAGCAGTACCAATGTGTGTCTTCAATGACTAGAAAGATAAAATATAAACTCTCATTGCATTCAAGAATCTACTAAAAATACTCAAAGCAACAGCACTTACAAATGTATCCACTACATTAAATACATGCCCAATTGGCAAGAAGCACAGCTCATAGCTAGCGAGATGGATCTAATCTATTAGCCAAGCAATAATCTTTAGACAGAATAATGAACGACGCCGTTTCCGGCTGTCTCGGCGGGTGAGAATGCGAGAAACATGAGAGCGGCCATTATGCCAATGGGAAAGAACAAGAGCATCAACGGCGGAGGAGGCAGCGGAGGCAGCAACAACGGCAGAACCACCATGAACAACGCTAGACCCGCCAACACCAGAACAGACCCCAAGCTCATACACTGCACCATGACCACCTACGACCTCCGACGAACATTTCTCTCCCTCCCCAAACGACAATGCCACGTCAGCAAACGAGAACAGCGAGCAGCAGCGAGAATGGCAACGAATTTATGAAAAGGCTTTGACAGTGGTTTAACGGCTTGTATTGGTTGGTATATATATAGGGATGGCGGATGTGTTGGAGTTGTGATCTGGTGGGTGAGGGTGTATGGAGATGTGATGTGGTTGGTGTGATCGGGACCGTTGATTTGGAGATTTTAAAATGGTGTGGTGGGGACCAGGGAGTGGATTTTTGTTTGGTTTTTATTGGGAGGAAATCCAGTTTGGGGTGATGGTCCGAATCGGCCAGAATCGGAGCGCCAGATCCCGAGATATTCGGCTGATACGTTCAGCAACTTCTACTGTAAATTTGATTTAGTTCATTTTTAATTCTTGGGTTAGGTGTGGTCTTTATTTATTTATTTTTAAAGTAAATTATTCTACATGTCCTCTTGGTATTATGAATATATTAAAATGATGACTCGTAAGAATTATTAATATTATCATAAATCCAACATGATACATCAACAATTACATATGTTATTCCCAACAAAAAAGAAAAAAGAAAAAGGGGTTATACATACTACTTGCCTACTTATCTGCGAATCATAGTTTGACACATATGCAAAAATAAAAAACACACGTCATACAGCTATTGGCAGGAATGTAGGAACTCCTACTTACCTGGTAAGAAGAGAAGTATTTTCCATATTATAATATAATTGTATGTTTATTTACCTAGAATGAGCATTTGAATTATTTTGATTCTTTAGTTTTCTTATATTTACTAATGCGCATGTATTTGAATTTTGCGTAATATGCAAAAAAGAATAAAAAATTATGTGGCATTTGCATTAAAAGTATAATACCTGAAAAATTAAAATTTATTTTGAATAAGGAGAGTAATTAATCTCATAATTATTCATTCTCGCTTATATTCCTAATTTCCCCAAATTCATGACAGTTTTAAGTAAGTAAATTGTAACTCATCAAGTACCAAATTGTGCAAGACTGCAAAGTGTCCCCCTCATGACATTTTTGAAAATGAATTTAAAGCCGACTACACACTAGTTGGTCTAAATTATGGGCTTATGGTAGGTCACATGTGACTAAATAAAGTAATGTCAGTCAGTTAGGGGGCACCTTAATGCACATGTCAAAAGTTTACACTCTTTTGAAACTTCATTCATGTTTTATCATGTATTTGGATTGGATGGTAACTAATTTAACCATTGGTTTTAACCATGCCCAATGGGGTCTAATCATATTAATTACGATATTACATAGTCGTTAGTCCAATATCTTACAATAATTTCTCGTCAATTACACTTTTCACTCAAGTAGTTTGAGGCCTATTAAAGTTGTTTTTATAAAAATCTTAAAATATATGGATCAAATTCCAAATAAAAGAGGTGCAAAATATAATTTATAATTTATAAGTTAACATCTTTTAATAATAGAATTTATATTTGATGTATGTTAAGATTTTAGAGAAATAGAACCAACTATTAATAACGATACTCCCGCAAGTGTGAAGTTGTATAGGAAATATTTTGACATGATCTAGTAGAATTATTTATTATATATTTTGTATTTTATTTGGTTCCGATGCATGGTTTGATTCGATGAGTGTAAACATTTCCAACCCAGTTACCCATGCACGAGAAGATATGATGATAACCTTGAACAGATTGACGATAAAGAAAAAAAAGATTCAAAGATGCCTCCCGAAATCCAAGAATGCTGTTGTTGCAACGCAAATCATTATAGAGTCAAACAATGGCCGTGTGGGACTCTGAAATTCGCATTTGCCCATTTTGGCACACACACAGTTATGTCTCAGTTCAATTCATCAACATCAACCAAACGTCAATACCACTTTCTTATTCCCAAAAATTATTTGATTTGTTGCACGAGTAGTTTAAGTCATAAGTATTTTATATTAAGAATTAGTTATATATTTAATATCGATCGTTGAATTACATGTATATTGTATATTAAATTTATCTATACCAATATATTTAAAGAATGCAATCAACGGCCTATATTAGTTAAAATATGTAACCAATCTTTAACTGAAATACTTATCTGTGAATTCCCTGTAATGAAGGAAAACTCAATATTGACCGTCAAGTTTGTGTTAAAAAATCACTAATCTTTTTGCATGCATACCATATTAATATATAAATAAATAATGTCACTGATTATTTTAATTTAATTTTACAGCTTGAATGAACATCTTGGGAACTTTAACAAAAAAATTTGTTATTATATGATAAAAAATAAAAAAAATTGCCCTGTTTTCATTTTCAGAAGAAAAATCTTATTTTCAGTTCATACTTTCACTTCCTTTCCTCGTATCAATGAATCCATTTTTATCTCATTCTCATAGCTCATATATTGCCTTCCCTTATATTTTGGGTAACTGAGGTCATATTAGACATAATATGTAGATTCTTCTGTGCTCTTCTATGCAATCCTCTGCTCTGTGTACGTAAGAAACATGTTCCTTATAAAAAGAAACGAATATGGATGCCGGTTGATCAACTAGTGCCGAGATTAGTATAAATTTGTTCAAACCAATCAAAACCGGCACCAATCAAATGTACACCTACTATGAGTTTCATTATTTCTAGTAAGTAAGATATGTGATTGACGCATAATTTGATTGAAATGAAGAAAGAAGATAAGTGTGTTGTTAGGTTTCTATATAAGTGTCCATGATCTTTTACACAACTTGAAATACATAGAAAACATATCTCGCACCATCTTCCTTGAGTACACGATCTCTGAACTCATTCAATCGCATCAACATCAACACGAGCAAAAGGAATAAACAGCTTAAGACTTCTGCTCTCTCTCAGAAACTGTTTTAGCTCTCTCTTTATTATGATGTGAGCAGGGTCTTAAACTTATATAGGGCTAGGTCAAGTCGTCTCTATTCATCACCAAGAGTCGATTTGACTAACACTCTAAGCCCATCAAGCAACGATTCAAGCAAAAGGAAATAAATAGAACTCCTTTAATTAGCTTCAAAACTTTCCTTATTTCACAAGAGTTTGAGCCTCAAAATATAACCTAATTTAAATTTTTATCAAACTTTATATAACTTAGAAATATAACATGTGCGGCATTATTGATATCACGAAGGAATGTCCATTTCAGAAAAGTGCCAATACACAGATATACAATGCATTGTACGTGATGTTCTCTTAGCCTAGCTAGTTGATATAAAATTATGAATATTCATGGCTTTGAATCCAAAATACAGGCGCGTCAGAAGAAAGAGGATTGGACATGATGATGATGATACTGATGGGGATGGATGGATATGCTGTTGCTGTGCAAATGTGCATGAGAAATGAATGAAATTAAAAAATATGTGCAAGTTGGTGCATTCCCACTTTCACTTTTGGTAATGTGCAATGTATCTGACTGAGCTAACCCTATGACACGCACGCGCCTACCATTCCTTTTCCAACACGCAATAATCTACAAATCCAATTAATACTCTACCACTCCACCTATTCTTTGCCTTTGCCCAATCACCTGCTTTCTTCCAATTTTGCACTTGAAAAGGAAATGTTTTGAATCACCCAGCCATCTTGATTAAAATGCTAGTTGCAATCCGTCTCTGTACCGGTAAGTTAGCAGGTGTGGGGTTTTGTACAGAAATAACATTGATGCTATTAATAGTAGAACCGTTCATTATATTTTGTATTTATATTTTGTTAAGTTTCCGATATGAAACTTTACGTTCGTTAACAATATTCATATTACAAACATCAAACTACTATTGAAAAATAGGTCACTGGCAAAATAAAATAATACACAAGTTGTTGAACTAAGTGGCACATTGTAACATCATTTTAATTGAGCTGGAAAATCAACACAATTTTTTCTACAAAGTATATATTGCAAACAATCTCTAAAATTTAAAGTGGCATTAGTATAAGAGATTTTCCTTTTACCTTAATTCAATTTCTTTTCGTAATAGGTGATGCTTATGTGGTTCCTTTATCTTGATTCTGATGGCTGTCAAGTTGAAAGAACAAGGAGATTGTGGTAAAAGGCTGCAAACCCAATCAAGATCGAGATCAAGATCTCGGGTTTGGTTTTCTTTTCGATTTCGTTCTCACACTTCCATCTCCCTTGCAATTCCAGGACAACGTAACATGCATTTTCTGTTTGTGTTGGACTTTGGGCTCTCTTTGACCGGAACAGCACAGGCCTACTATCTGAACATAGCATAGTGTTAGAACACTTCCATCTATACGCGATGACAACCAGTAAAGGCAAGTAAGAGGTGGTTATTGTTCACGTGAATAGTATCTGTCATAGCAATTTTTATTGTAACTTTTTTCACCTATTGACATGACAACCCAATAGCAATTACTATTTACATGAGATTAATTTCATTTATATGTATGAGATTAATTACAAAAAATTGCTAGGTATCTATAATATATATATTTTTAATTTTGTGGTAATTTTTCAGAATTTTTGTCAATTTTTTTCCAATTGATTTCTTTCATTGACGTCAGTATCTTTAGGCACCATCTTGGGCTGCCTTTGGGCCTGCCCAATCTTGGTGGAGCTCACGTCATACCTGTGCCAGAATTCATTGGTTGAGGGGTTTATTAAGCCCAGGGGGCCTTCTGCCATGGCAAAACCCCATGGGTGGACATGCTCTAAGAACCCATGGATAGAACTTTCCCTTAAAAATCGGCTTGTAAGGAAAAGGTGCCCATGAGCTCTTAAACCACTCTATGATATGCTATATATCCAATGTGGGATCTTGAGTCATAACATTCAACCAGTCTTCCGTACCCAACGTCCTTGTTGGCCCACTCTATAGACACTGGCCTTCACTCAACTACCAATATTCAATGACTTGATATCTTCTTAATCTGGCCTATAGGTTTTCCCTTCTGTGGAATTAGGCCTAGTTGCATGGTGAAACTAGACTCCGATACCAAATGTTAAGAACCCTAAGGTAGAAATTTCTCCTGAAAACTAGTCAGTAAGGGAAGAGTGCCCATGAACATTTAAATCACTCTATGATATGATATTTT